TATTCTCAACGAAACCAAAAATAAACAAATATTTTGTTGAAAAACTTTTGGCTCATTCGTTATTATCGAATAAATTTGATCTAACCTGAAGTACTCGGTAATCCGGATGATGTTTTTGCCCATTTTTCAACATGATTCCACATATCATTATGACATGCAAGAAAACCTTGTCGAATAGCTGATAATATTAATTGATCATTTTGATTTTCATCGGAAGTATTTGGCCAAAAATCATCTTGTTCAAGAATATGTTGACATAAACTTTGTCGTGCATATTCAGCTGCTTCTTTACCACCATGACCATCGAATATACCAAAATAAGCAAGAGATATTGGACTTTCTTTATCTGAAGGATTTAAACGTTGAAGAGCAATTGCATACGCATCTTCTACAAAAAAAAAAAAATTCTTTGATTATTATTATTATATCAATAAAAAGAATTTATCTTGCCCATATATTTTCGACCACCTAATAAAGAAAAACAAACGAATTATTTATTATAGAATAAAGAAATAAAATGAATAATCTTTACCTTGATTACTGTTTGTCGTTATACGTAAATTAACTTGAACACAATCGTTCATTTTGTTCATTTTATTATCTGTTCAAATGAATTTATTTATATAAGGAAAGAAAAAGTAATTTTAATATGGTTTAGATGATTAATATTCTATTGTAGTTGGTTTTGATCATTCGTTTATAAATATCAGAAAAAGAAAAAAGAAAAGAAAACAAAGATAAAAAAAAATTTAATGACATAAATATACTTCTATTTTCAGAGGCGTAACTTTTCTTTTTCTTTTTTCTTTTTTATTCTTTGATCTATTTACGTTATGTTGAATCACAAATGTCAGAGGAAATTTTGAAAAAAAAACATTGGTGAAAAATTAATAACCAATCAAAAGATTCAAATCTATTTTTAGACATAATTCACATATGCATTTTGTTCCTGTAGTCTTTCTTTATTGGTTTATCAAATCAGAACGTATTGCTTACTTATTTAATTTAATACAATTCAACCGAAAAATAGAAATCTCATTTCGATTATCATCAATGAAGATATTATTTGTACTTTAGATTTTGATGAGCAACGACGAAAAAATTTCGTTGGATAAGAACATGTTTCAACAAGTAAATAATCTTACCTCTTTTTTTTTTTCTTTTGTTTTCTCAATTGATTTGATTATTTAATATAGATGTCTTCATCTCATTCTCAATTTCATACACCTACTAGTTCTTCAGCAAATAATCAAGATGAATTACTAGCTAGACGAAAATTAGAACAAAAACGTCGTTTTCAACAAAAACAAGGAAATACTCCTACAGATGTTGATTCACTTATGCAATCAATGTTTTCTGATTTAAAATTACAATCTAAAACAACAATACAAAATACAGAAGGTAGACAAAAAAACATATTTCTAATTTTAAACCTTTTTTTTTTTGTTTATTGTTTTATTTTAGAAGTAAAAAAATCAGTATTACAAATTTCAGGTATTGATTTTTTTTTGCGTTGTTTGATTATAATCATAATATTTTCTCTATAAGAATTAACAAATAATTCTGTTATTCATCATTCTCAACCTCAACAAACTCATACAGCAGCTCCTGGTGCAGCTGATTGGTCGAAAATAGCATTTGATGATGACTTAACTAGAGTATTTAATCAAGAAGAAAAAATTTCAAACATTCCAGCAATAAATTCAGAACAACCGTCCATATTACATCATTCCAACGAACAGTCCTCATCATTTACTAAATTTGGTAAAAAAAAATGAAATTGTTTTTTGTTTTTTAATTGAATTTTATATAAAAAGAATCTAAATTTTTATTTATTATAGTTTATCCATCTTGGTGTTCACAGCCAATTGTCTTTCTTCCACTTGTTTATCAACAAGTATTTGAAGCATCATGTATATCTAATAATATTCAAACATCTGTTTTATATCCAATTCTTCTTTTATCTGGTCTTAGACAAGATCAACTTAGTCAAATTTGGTCTCAAGTTAATTTACATCAACCAGGAACTTTAATTAAAGAAGAACTTTTTATGGCATTAGCACTTATTGCATTAGCACAGAACAGTAATGGACAAATTTTTTCGAATGAACGATTATATCATTTAACTGAATATCCTATACCACATTTTCAAATTCAACAAAGACAACAACCACCTCCTCCTCCTCCTGCTCCGGCTTATCAACAAGAAGATTTTGCTGATTTTACAGCATTTGAACAAAATACAGATGATGGTCATGTAACTGTTCCTATTGATTTTAATGAAAATAATTTATATCCACCAGATATAAAAGCATTGTCATCGGAAACACAATCGATTGCAAGTTTAGATTTACCAATGCCAACAATTCATACAAATTATCAAGATGATACTAGTCAAAAAGGAATTAGTGATAATATTTCATTTTCTTCATTAAATAATAATGATATTGTACCAGCAGCTGATACACAAAGTTTACATTCAATCAATTCATCTGAACCTTCCAAATTAGGTTAATATTATTTGTATTATCATACATGCAATATATTGAGAGTAGTTTAATCTAGATTAAATCACGAAAACTTTATTCATGTTCAAGATTAATTGAGAATAAGGAGAAAAAACAGACAAGAGTTCATCATATGTATTGGAAATTGTTATCAGTAGTTAATAAATTATTGACTTAGAATGATATTTAAAAAAAGGGGACAAAAATTTAAGATACCTTTTATTTTTTAAAGATGATAGGTTTAGTTTTATAACTTTTTTTTCATACTAATAGTTTTACTTCATGAGAAAAGTTCTCCAACTGATACATTGCTTTTCACTCGAGACTATGTGCATTATGTAGACTCGACTCAAAAGTAATTCACTACTTAAAGGTTGAGTCCATCGAGTCCGACTCCAAAAATTCTTGGACCCAATGGGTTCTACTTGAAGGACCTCTTTTGTCAATGGACAAAAGTTTAGAGCACATTTTATATTTCATTAGTTTTTCGCTGTTAAATAATCATTATAAAACTTTTCTATATAATGTTCGATGCAAAATTTACTAGGCTATAGTATGACAAAAAGTATTTTCTAAACATTACTAATTATTAATGATTACCATTTAAATGATCAGTAAAAAAATATGTGAATAGTCAGTACTAGAATTATCAGTAATTAATTGTAAAATGGTCAGTTTATTAAATATAAGAGTAGTAAAAAAAAATTCAATTTATATCAGTAAAGAATACATATTTGTTCAGTAAAAAAATAAGATTCACTAGTAGAAAGTAAATTTAAATAAATCCAAGAACTACAGAATAAATAAGAGGAAAGTTGAAGAATAACTGAAAAAAAATGAAAGTTGAATTATTGTATTAGTAAAGCAGATTTTGACCTTTCTGATCTATCTCTTTTTTCTTTTCTCACCAATTGGCTCTGTTTTTGCTGCTAGTGATGATTTACAATATTTCAAATGATTAGCCATAACTATAGTGTGTTTGCATATATAATTTTTAAAAAGAGTTGGACAGTTGCATTTCGATATTTTTCAATGTGAACCATTTTCCATTTCCATACGCCAAATATCATATGATTTTTTGAATTGATTAAATATTGTCCATCATTTTTGTTTTATATTTATTTAAATCAGCTTGTGTAATCGATTGTAAATCATAAGGCGGTATATAATATTTGCTCGTAGAATTATTTGCCATACAAAATTATATCTTATATTGATTTAGTTCATTGATATGATAAAGTTCATAATTCTAAAGATATTGTTGGTTCTGTAGGATATATTCTTGCATTAATTGAGGCTGAATTTCGTTCGATTGATCAATTATTGATAATAATATTTGAAGATTTTGTTAAAAATCTTGATAAAATATGGTGTTCTCGAAACATTCTATCATTTGTCATTGTTTTATTGGTTTGCTTCTAGGACATTGTTTGCACTTGATGCATACAGTTGTATACCTTCATACCAATTATTATTTGATTTGAATCATTCATTATGAAATGCATATTGTTTTAACTCAATATTTTGATTCCCGTTTATTTTTAGAGTTCTTTTATGTCATAATTTTCTTCTACTACCTCTTCATCTGATATATTGCTTTCATATTTGAGAAATTTGTAAATATTTATACATGAGGATAGATGAAGACAACGACCAGGGAAGAAGTCAAGAAGGTGCATTCCTTTTGTTTTAGATAATGAGCAATAAAAAGAATTAAAACAACGATCGTTCTTATTCACAAAATATGTAGGTCAAAAAAATGATAACATACGTAGAACAGCTAAAGGAGAAAGGAAAAGAAAAACAAAAGCGATTTACTCTATAATCATTTCGATTGTTATATTGACTCTTTAATATAATCGATTGTAAATAAATTGTATTTACTGATTTTTAAATTTATTTAGAAATCAAATGAATTAATAACTGATCATTTCATTTATTTTACTGACTACAAACCATATTCCCATTATTAATTACACTTAATTGATATTGATTTATTTAACAAAAAAAAAAGAAAGATTCTGTTTCAATTTTCAATTAATAAGTACATTTGTGGAAAGACCATTAAAATCTATACAAAATAATATAGAATTTTCGTGAAAATAATTCATCTTAGTATGAAAGCGACAATTAGTCGTATGTTTGACAGAAGTATAGTTCCTATTTCATTTCCCACAAACCTCAATTTGCAGACATGTTATTCAACCACATACAGTACCGTGGAAAGATAAGAATGGCATGTACGAAAGAAGGATTTATCCCATGGAATGGATTTGTAGATGATCTCATTGATAAATAGTAATTAAATGCTGACATTCACATTTTGAATTCATCGAAATGTTACGAAAACACGAGAACTATATTCATTATCGAATGACGAAGACAGAAGCTCCAAAATAAGGAAAAATTATACAGGATAATGAGAAATTTCGTAAATAACTACTACTTACTCTCATGTAAAGTTTCATGCCCAATTAGAAAAAATTACTAAACATTCATATTTATACTCATATCTGATGTTTCTGGTGTTTGAATAGATTGTTAGTTATTTTCTTAACATCTTTGAGTTCTTTCCCCATAATACTAAGAAAATTCTTTTGTCAATTTAATTTTTCAGCATTACGACCAATTGGCGTAGATCCGCTTGTAATGAGTATAGTAACCCATACTATTACCATAGATGTCCATGACGGCTGAGAATCTTGCACTACGGCGATAACCAAGAAAAGTTACCACGCCGCTAAGTATTGTAAAAACAGGTGCCGCAGCCACAATGATATTCAAAAAATTCTTTTGATTTTCAAGTCTGTGACTGATTTGAACTAGAATTGCATCTACTACTCGATCAGATTTGATAAGTCTTACAGTATCACATATATAAACATCGAGATTTTGCAATAATTATTTAAATGCAAAAAATAAATGAAATATAAAATGTATCTTCAATATTCAATCACATGAATATAATTTATTAATTTATTTTTAGAATTAACTCAATTTTCATTTTTCTCGGATGATACAGCTCAAATAGATTCACATCTAGCTGTTTGGTTACGTTGTTTTGAAAAATGTTATTCAATATTATCTCAAGCAAATGAAATATTTTCATCTATTGAAAGTCCAACATTATGTATGGAAATCTTACAACAAACACGTACTCGAGATTATGTTCAAAATTTACAAGAAATTTTTCTTGTTCATAAAAGAATTTATACAGCAGCAATTTTAGAACCAACAACAACATCTCAATTATTAACACTTTGGAAACAAATTATTGTTTTATGGACTAATTTACAATCATTTTTTTCAACTGCACATCTTCATTTAGTAATATTAATCATATTTAACACTGAATAGAAATATTCTTTTTTTTATTTTCTTGTTTATTTCAGTTAAATGATGATGATATAGATTATTCATCATTATTATTTGGTGATACATATTCGTATTGTTCAATTTGTCTTCTATCAACTATTGGTCTTGATACAGTATTACCGAATTCTTCTTCATTTAACACTGCATATTTAACATTTGCTGGCCGTTTATATCATGCTCCTTGTGCCAATTTTTATTTAAATCTCATTGATGGAATTTTACCATCATTAAGAAGATCGTCTTGAAATTTTTCGTTTCTTGTCAATTCTTTTTTTCTTTTTTTAATTTTCGTGTACAGTGAACATTCTATATTTTGTGTTGGATTATGGATTATATATTTATTATTTTCAAGTTATATCTGATTTGAATAGATAATTTAAAGAGAATTCTTTTTTTTTTTTTCAAAATTTTCTGTATGTTTTAGATGGCTGATGATGGTGATTATGATGATGGAGGTGGTGATGGTGGTATGGATGATGATATTGATGATGATGAATTTAATGAAGATGAACAAGATCTTGATGGTGATCAAAATACTCAAGCAGATAAACAACCATTGCAAGGTGATGATCGAATGGAAATACTTAATGAAGATGATATAAATGGTGCACAAGCAGGTATGAGAACAGATCCATCAAAACGAATAACAACACCATATATGACAAAATATGAACGAGCACGTGTATTAGGTACAAGAGCATTACAAATAGCAATGTGTGCACCATTAATGGTTGAACCTGATGGTGAAACAGATCCATTACAAATAGCAATGAGAGAATTAAAAGAAAAGAAAATTCCAATGATTATTCGACGTTATTTACCTGATGGAAGTTATGAAGATTGGAGTATTGACGAACTTGTTCTAACTGATTAATGTTGTTTTTTTTTGTGTTTTTGCTATTTGTTTAATATTGAATAAATCCAGAAGATATTGAAAGTAAATAAATAATAAGTTTATATCGATCAGAACTGCCATCTTAGCCTGGATGATACGTAGTCAAATTTTTGTGTATTGATCGATTCTGATTAGCAGTGGTATTGTAGATTTAAAATATTTTGTTAAATTTATTGAAGTTAAAATTTTACTTTAAACTTTGATAATCAATGTTAAAAATGACATACTCTAATTTTAAGACGACCACCTGTTGCATGGCTCGATTTCCACTATTTTGTGCGACCTTGTCTCATAAACAGAAGTGTGAATGTATCACCTTACTGTAGTTTGTAATGAATGACAGTGATGTATATTAATGATATTAACTTTTTCTCATCCATTCTAGTTTAACATTACCTGAGAAGGTTCAAAGTGGCATCTAACTGTGAGAGTTTAAGTCAACTGAAAAGGCTACATTTATTCTTGATGATAGATGATTCTTTTTAATTAATTAGCTTCTGTTTGCAGTTTCATATGGACTTATGATTTGAGTTAGAATGTATCGCAATAGACAAGATGAATGAATATACAATAGAAATGGAGCTATCGGATAATGCAATTCAATCTGATATCATTCAGTAAATCAAGGTGAGAAGCAAATGTGTCTGATCAACATGAATAGTGTTTTCTGTTTGTATGATTTCTTTCTGACGCGATACACATTTTTTTTATGTTATGGAAAAGCACTAATGGAAAAAGAACTAATTTGAAAGCATAGTTCTTTGTTTAGACAAGACTGTATTTTTCGACCAATTCTGTATCTTTTGATTTTTTTTTTATTTACTGAAAGAATTTGTACTTTCATCATCTGAATTGAGAAAAACTAAATATATGATCGAGACTAGCGTGAGAGAATAAGAAAAAAGTCTGACGTATGTCATGCAAGTGTATTCACAAATTTAATAAAACGATTCAATAAGTGTATTCTGTTCTTCCAAAAGCTTGCAAGTCAGATCGAAAAAAAGTGACTTGTTGATAGCTCTGATATCGATCATATTTGCTATAACGTAACATTTCTTAGTACCTCCATCAAGACAAAGAAAATGCAAATGTGATACTAATTTTTGTTTTTGTAGAATATATAGGAATATGTAACACTGTTATTTTGAATGAATAATGAAGCATTTTTGAGATTCTCATCAGAATAACTGAGATGATTGCATTAGTTATGAACTATGGTGTGAGTAACACAGATTTTATATCCATATGAATTGTCAATAAGACATTGTGATTATGATGATCATCAGCAATATTTTTTTAACTTCATTTAAGTTAATTAAGAATATTTTGTTCTGTTTGTTTTCACACATAATGAATTATTCGTCTGCTGTGTGAACAAGTATTCCCGCAAGTAATTATCTTAGGAGTAACTGTCCGAATTTTGTTGTGTCTTTCACTATGTATATAATGTTCAAAAGAAAAAATATGTCGTATTTATAATGAAAGTGGATAATTCAATATAGAGTGTTTGATGTTTTTTGCTTCTCGTGAAATTCTTTTCTTAAGAATGCTGCTTCCCACTTTATGAAATCTGATTTTTTTCGGAAAAACAATCGAATTCTTGTTACAGAAACATACTCAGAACTCTCCTCTTTTCAAATATGTATACATTTTTTGAAAAATAGTCAGATTTTGATACATTCATAAGACAAGATTTAGGTTCTACTAGATAATTTTTTGAAGAGTTTCTGCAATTTTTGAAATCTTTCAGTTTTAGGGAAATTTTTCATTAGTTCCATTTTTAACAACACAGAATAAAACGCTGTTATATTAATCATTCAGCGGACACTAGAAATTAAGATTAGAATCGTATATTTATATCTCGTCTTCAATATAATTCATAAAAACTTGCGCTGAAATACAAAGCTGTTTTAAGAAAATTGATTTTTGAAAAACTCTTTTGAAAGAGAGCAGACAAATATTATCTAAACATTACAGATTGTATTAATTGACTTTATCTGTTATGTCCTTCAAGAAATAGGTCGTTTATTGTCGAGATATGTTTTCCTCATTTTGAATGAAGAAAACTGCTTTCTCACTTTATTTATCATTTTTCTTATAATATAGTTTTTAATCAAAAAACAAAAAAAGAAGAAACTTCTCTCAAGCAGTTTAAAATACAACCAACACTTTTTGTTCTGTTTTGAATCTTTTTAGTAAGAATAAAATTTTGATATTTGATTCTGAGCCGAAGAAAATGGAATTTTATATGATGAAGATCAGATTATTTTTAGACTAATGTGACGCTAAGCTCAGAATAATGCTCATAGAAAATGAGCAGAAACTAATTCGAACTCTGTAGCTTTTTCTTAATGACAAAGTCTTAGAAGTTCTTTTCGAGATCATTAATCGTCTATCAGTAAGCTAGACTTCTCGTATAGTTCGATGTTCTGAGTTGAATTTTTTCTCAAAAATGTTTCTCCCTAGGATTACCCATCCCTGCAAATTTAAGTCTAAACGAATCTTGTTTAGCAAAAGATTTACTTTAAGAGGAGGATGCAGTCTCAATGCCTTCTGTATTGATACAATTATTTCTATTAATGAAGGAATCTCTTCAGGTATAAAATCACGCTTCGATCAAAGGGATATTCATTTGATGAGTACTAGTGAGCAATAGAAAAGTCTACAATGGTTTAATTTTCCGAGTCTTTATTCTTGAGAGATTGAAATTTTATTGAATTTTTCAACAAAAAAATTATGGTCTCTTCAGGTCACTTAATGTTTTCTTTCCGGAGATGTAAATATATAAACAAAATTTGCTTTTACACCGGACAGAATTTTGAATATTGAATATTTCAGGATATAGAGGATACTAGAAAAGTTACAATTTGCCTAATTAACTAATCTCATTAAGAATCTTGTTCGTGCACAGTTTGAAATCGAAACTCGAAAACCGATTTCTTACGTGATCCGAGAGGAACCACAGCTTTTTGTTGAAAAATTCAATATAATTTTGATATCTCAAGAACAAAGTCTCAAGAAATCAAATCATTGTAGATTTTTCTATTACTCACTAACACTAATCAAATAAACATCGTCTCGATCGAAAAACAATTTGACATTTGAAGAGGTTCCTTTTGTCAGCAAAATAATTGAAACCTTCGACTATTTAAATGTTTATTTTTTGGAAACATGTGTACTGTATGAATAATTTGCATATTAGAATTTCATAGCTTCTTATCATTAATCATCAGTTTTGTTCATATCTGGCAAATTAAAAATATTTCCGATAACGGAGTTCCCAAATTTTGTTTAGAATAGAGTTTTTCTTATACAAAAAAAGACTCTATAAATATACGGATTGAGATATTATAATTTAATTTTCGATATAAGAAGAACATATTGTATGTAATAAACCATGTTGGAAAGGAAAAATAAACACAAATATGCACTACTTAAGGACTCTCTCAATTATAGTTGCCTCTTAATGAGATAAGTATTTCTCATTTATATCACATAGACATCTGAACAGTTTCTGAACATGAAGAAACGTGTCTTTATTAATGAATTAAATCGAATACAAATAACATATCTTAATTGGATACTGATTAAAGCTATAAATATTATTTATTTTATTTCTGTGAATGAAAGACGAAACGAATAATTCTATAGAATTGTAATTATCAATAGAATTTTTGAATGTTTACGGAAATGTGGCAGCTCTAATTCTCTTATAGAATCGTTTTTATTTCGCTCCTGTATGCATGCATAAATTTATAAATACAACAATATTAATTAGCGCCCTCTATAATAATTTCGTCATTTCAGCAATCTGAATTTCAACAAATGGTAATCAGAGTCTTTACAATGCCTAACTATAAAAGAAGAAGCAATTTTGTATTGGTAAACGTTAGTTGTAAGACGGCATTGGGTACAAAAAACGTCAAGAAATTTCATTACTGACTCATTCATTACATGTTTCTCACAAATACCATGATTCATTCCTATCTCTTCTATTGCACTGACGGTTCATTGTTCAAATTAGATAGATATATCGATAAGATTATTACTTCATAGAATTCTTTTTCTTTACACATAGGGTGACTATACACTAAAAATTATCTTAGACTATACTACTTTCTTCGAAAAGAAAAAACGAACTAATAAATACAATAAATTTTCTGTATGTTTTAGATGGCTGATGATGGTGATTATGATGATGGAGGTGGTGATGGTGGTATGGATGATGATATTGATGATGATGAATTTAATGAAGATGAACAAGATCTTGATGGTGATCAAAATACTCAAGCAGATAAACAACAATTACAAGGTGATGATCGAATGGAAATACTTAATGAAGATGATATAAATGGTGCACAAGCAGGTATGAGAACAGATCCATCAAAACGAATAACAACACCATATATGACAAAATATGAACGAGCACGTGTATTAGGTACAAGAGCATTACAAATAGCAATGTGTGCACCATTAATGGTTGAACCTGATGGTGAAACAGATCCATTACAAATAGCAATGAGAGAATTAAAAGAAAAGAAAATTCCAATGATTATTCGACGTTATTTACCTGATGGAAGTTATGAAGATTGGAGTATTGAAGAACTTGTTCTAACTGATTAACCATTTGGTTTTTTTTTGGTTTTTTTTTTATTGTAAATACTTTTATTTCAGATATAAAAATAAATATTAATTACAATGGAAATTAATGAACAAAATCTCGAAGTACTTTCAACTTATTTACGTAAAACATTATCTGCAAATACAGATGAACGATTAGAAGGTAAATTTTTAGCTTTTGTATTAATCAAGTTACATACACTTGCAAAAAAATTTCATATCAAAAGAAACAAGAAAAAACGAGTCATATTGGACTTTCGAAATCGATAAGAAAGTGTGTCAGATGTCGCATAGAGTCGATAGATGATTTATAATTTGATGAAAGAAACTCAGCATGTAACACTTGACATTCTTTGAATTGTCATTATTGAAGTTGTTTTAGAAGGACAAGCAAAATCAAAAACAAAATCTTGCTAGTTTTACTGGACAGTAACAAATACTTTTTGTTATTAGTTTCAGCAGGCGCTCCATCTTCGGATATTAATAATATCAGAATATGGAACACTAACATTAATATCACTAAACTATACAATGAAACATCTGCTACACGAATACCATACTTTTCAATTATTGAGTGCAGGCTGTAGGCCTCTAGCCTTTACAGTTCCTAACTAAAAAACCACTCGTAATTTATTCATCTATGTGTGAATCTTTATAAAAAGATAATAATTTACTTTATATTGTTATTTATCATTATAATTTTGTTTATTTTAGCTGAAAAAACTTTAAAACAAATTGAACGAAATGAAAATTATACATCTTTATTATTAACTCTATGTGAACAATCAACAACATCTGATGAAATTCGTCGTGCATCAGTAATAACATTTAAAAATTTTATAAAACGTAATTGGCCATCACTTGATCAATCAAATACTATATCAATTCGTGATCGTAATCATATAAAAGAACATATTATTGATTTAATGACACGATCACCTGAACATATTCAAGAACAATTATCTGATGCCATAACAGTTATTGGTAAATGTGATTTTCCTGATCATTGGTCAACATTACTTGATACAATGATAAAACAATTTCAACAACAATCATCAAATTCATTTCAATCAATAAATGGAATTTTAAAAACTGCACATTCACTTTTTGAACGATATCGATATGAACAAAAATCTGATGAATTATGGTTAGAAATTAAATTAGTTTTGGAAAAATTTGCACCAGCTTTTACAGAATTATTTAAAGTAAAATAATAGAATTTTCATAGATTAATTGTTCATGGAATTTTGACTTTTTTTTTTTGTTTTGTTTTAGTCTTTAATGGCTTATTATCCACAAAAAGAATCTGATCCAATTGAAATGAAACATATATTTAATTCATTACTTCTTATTATTAAAATCTTCTATGATCTTAATGCTCAAGTAATTTCAATAGAAAGGATGAGAGCGAACAAAAAACCATTATTTTTTATCGTTTTACAGTAAGACATGATGTCTGGTGATATTTCATATGTTAGTTTTTGTACAACTAATCAAAAGATTTTTGAGATCTGAGGTCCTCCACTGGAATTGCTGGAAAACTTTTTATCTTTGATTCTGTTGAAACGTATATTTGTTAATAGAGTCAAGTGCACTGATTACGAATATTAGTATATTGAGCATACAAAGACTATTAATGAATAACAAAAACAATACTTTTTTGGATATTCCTTCAGGTTAACATTTAGTTTGTCGCCGATATATCTTCTCCATTGATTATTCTAACGTCATGAAAAAAGATTCGTGCTAGTTAAGACAACGTAGTTTACTCAAATATGAAGTATAAAAGTCTACTAGCAACATGATCGTCTGTAAAATTCGTATTTCCATTCCAAAATCTGCTTTTCTTCATCACCAACGAAAATTGAAAGTTTCGAAATTTTCTGATAGAAGGCCAGAAGCAATGTGAAATTAGGACTGAATCTATCATTTTCATGTTCTATTCGACGGTGGTCTCGAAAAACCGAAAGAAATAGTTCGCTAAAGTTTTTTTTAGGATTCTCTGAAAAATCTCTCCAAAATCTTAAAGATTTCACTGGAAAGGTTTTTTCGGAGAACTCTCAAAAACTTTAATGCATCGGTTTTTTTAGCATTTTGAGTCCACTATCCGATAGAGCATTGAAAATGATGTACTCAGTTCAAGTTTCACATTGCTTCTAGTCTCCTATCAGGAGGCTTCGAAACTCCATGTTTTCATTGAAAATTGAAGAAAAACAGATTTTGAACGAAAAATAGAACTTTGTACAGGCGATCATATTGCTAAGAAACTTCTGTACTTCATACTTGAGTAAACTAAGTTATTTTAGCTATTACGACTCTTTTTTCATGACGATAGAATAATCAATGGAGGAGATACATGGACGAAAAAACTGAATATAAAGCACAAGGAGTACCTAAACAAGGCTTATTTTTCTTATTCTCTAAAAGTCTTTGAATACTCAATATACTGATATTTGTAACCAGCTAACTCAACGAACATACGTTTCAATAGGGTCAAGCATAAAAAGTTTTCCAGCGATCTCTGTGGGGAAAATCTCAAGTACCAAAAATTTTTTGGTCAGTTGTATAAAAATTAACATGTGAAATATTATCAGGCATCATGTCTTACTGCAAAATGATAGAAAAGAATGGCCAGTTTTGTTATGGAGCAGAAAAATGGCTTTCTTCGCTCTCGTTGTTTCATTTTTCGAAATTTTAGTTTTATATGTTTGTAGGAATTACCTGAACATTTTGAAGATAATATAACAATTTATATGACACATTTTTTAACACTTCTGTCTTATGATTATCCAAAACTTCATTCAAATGTAAAGTGTTTTCTTAAACTTTTTGATTGATTTCATTGATCTGTTTTCTTTTTCTTATTATTTAGAATAATGATCCTGGAATTTTAGATCAAGTGAAAACAGAAATTTGTCGTGCTATAGCACTTTATGCAGATAATTATAGTGATGAATTTAAACCATATGCACAACATTTTGCATCAGCTATTTGGTCTTTATTAATACAATTAGATCTTTCACCATCTTATGATGAAGTAAAAAATATTTTATTTGAATTTATGTTTATGATAATATTTTTGTTTTTTATTTGAAAGCTTATTAGTACAGCAATGAAATTTTTATCAACATTAGCTGCTCGAAGTCATCATTGTATGATGTTTGAAAGTGTTGAAACATTAAAAGTATTATGTGAACAAGTTATTTTACCAAATTTATTCCTTCGAGGTTTGTTTTCTTTGTTTTTATATGAATATTATTTATGATTTAATTTAGAATCAGATATTGAAGAATTTGAAGATAATCCAGAAGAATATATTCGAAAAGATATTGAAAAATCAGGTTAGAATTATTTTTCTTTTTAAGGTTGAGGAATATTTGAACTTATTTATGTTTTTATTATATAGATTCAGCAACACGACGACGAGCTGCTTGCGATTTTCTTCAAGCACTTTGTATTTTCTTTGAACCACAAGTTGTTTCGATTTATAGTCAATATATTGATGCTATGCAGAAAGTAAATTATTACGAAATCGAAATTTGTGATAGATTTTAGACTTGAAATTGGTTCTAGGGAAGGATAGTTGCCGGGTAACATAATAATTCATGAATTTGAATCTTTTGTCAAGGAAAGATTGTTGTGCGAAAGTAGTGATTTTTTATTACGTTTGGCTATCAATAACTTTTGCGCTTGAGGAATCCGAATCTGTGATCGATTTCTCGGTCAAGTTACCTCTATTCTGGGGATCTTTGGTCAAACTTTATACAAAAAAAAATCATTACTTTCCCAAAATAACCATTCTTTAGTGGAAAAATCAAATATATAATTTCGAGAAACCGATTACAGATTTGGGTTCCTAGACCCCGCAGATTTTTCATCAAACTTTATTGTAACATGCTACTTTCGCAAAATAATCTTTCCTTGATGGAAGAATTCAATCCAGGAATTTTCCGTTATCTCTTAACGATGACTTTCCATTCTTAATCAATTCTGATCCATGCTAAGAATTGAGATTGGTACATTCCTATTTCTAGAGAAGATTCATGCTCATTGTTTGTAGGAAGCAAGGAACTAGCGGGACTTATTTTTTCGGGATTTTATTGGATTTATCTAGATTAATCTATTGATAGCATTTAATACATTTGAATTATACCGAAAGAAAGACATTATTCTGAAGTGTTAATCTTAATCCTCATCTAGTCTCTCACTCTGTAGGTCGCTGTCATCTTCAGCCAGGTATCTACTCTCAGTATAATTCCTTTCCGTTTCATTATAAGATGTATAGCGGATATAAAGAACCCGCGAAAAAATAAATCCTGGAAGCTGTTGAGTCCTGTCTAGGCTATAGAGAGCTGTGGTTTTCACTGTTAGAAAGAGAAGATAGAGACGCATCGAACTGTATATTACAGAATAATTTGACCTAGTTTTTCAACGACTTAAATCGACGTTTTTGAAAACCAACATATTCCGTAAGGTGGCTAAGGTCAATTTTCAATAGTCAGGTGCGTATTGGAACCGCTAAAGAAAGATCTACAAAACTGCGTAAGACCTAAACTTTTAGATTTACTCGTTTAAGAGTTATAGGCATTTTATTCAAAACTTTTAGCCGATTTTTGTATTAATTCCTATGAAAAAAAACATCTTTTTTTGTATTTTTCTTATTTTAAGAGAAACTAATTTTCTGGCATCTTTTTAGAAATTTGATTAAGAAAACTTCTTGGAGAACCCTATAGTATACCATTCGATGTGTCTTCACCTTCTCTTTTCAACGATGAAAACTGCAGCTCTCCATCTTACTTCTACTAAAAGTTATTCAAAAAATACTCACTCGCCTTGTTTTTTTTGAATTGGGTCATAGTGTTGATTTTCGACCTGCAGATAGAAACTTCGATATATCTTTCATTATATTTTATTAAAGATAATATTTATTTTAGGAATATTTACAAAATCGAACACAAAATTGGTTAAAAAAAGATGCATGCATTTTTCTTGTCTTAGCACTTGCATCAAAAGGCGAAACACAAAAAGTTTGCAAAAAAAAAAATCTTGTTTTTCTGTGAATAAGAAAATTCTTTTGTTTAGTTTGGTATAACAAAAACAAGTTCATTTATAAGTATTTCAGCATTTTATTCAAATAGTATATTACCTGAATTTCAAGATCAAGATAGTATATTGATAATTTTCGAAATTTTTATTAAAATAAAATATTTTTGAAAATTTTAGTTAATGCTCTTCCATTAATAAAGGCTGATTGTTTAAAATTTTTAATTGATGTTCGAAATCAAATTGATCGTGATGCTTTACTTATTTCAATACCTGAATGTATTCGATATTTATCATCAAATAATATTGTTGTACAAACATATGCAGCACATGCTATTGAACGTTTATTACTTGTTCGTCAATCTACTGATCAAAAATTTGCAGCGTAAGATTTTCGAAAATAAAAAATAATTTTAATTTGTTTTTTTTTGTTTTTTGTTATAGAATAACAAAAAATGATTTAATTCCTTATGCTCAAACAATGTATGATAGTTTCTTTCGAATATTAACATCGGATAAATCATATGAAAATGAATATGTTATGCGAGCTGTTATGAGATTATCATCATCACTTAATGATGCTGTTTTACCTCATTTAAATCTATTAATGGATAAATTAGTTATGATTTTACGACGATCAAGTAAAGTAAGAAAGTTCAACCAGTCTTTCAGTTTTATAAAATATAAACTATGTTTGAAATATAGAGCAAGATTTTTGGACCTCGCGTCAGATCTCTCACAGATTGTAATAGACCTTAGTTTTGAAAGTGATATTTTTTAATGAATTACTAGAAGAGGAATAAGTTTCTAGTTAAATTTAAGGAACCCCCCCCCCTCGCCCATTTCTGGGGTTTCTCATGAACGGCTCGATGAAAAATGATGACACTTTCAAGGCAGATAGATCTTGATAAATAGAGCAAAAATTATCATAGACTCAAAATTCCTAGATGCTTCCTTCAGCGAGATATGAAGGCCAGAACGTTACTTCTCGTCGTAAAACTTTATAATTCATTTTTTCGAGCTGCAATCTTTATTATCACACCTAGGATGAAAATGGAGGCGTGTTTTTTTTCCTTCGAAAAATATCGTTCGTAGAGTTGAGAAGAAGCAAACTACTGAAAGCACCGTCAAAAAAACATGTTTTTTTTTCAATGGTATTAATTTCCTAATTAAAAACAAATTTGGGTCCGATAGGACGCACTTTGTGGGAGAAAACGTCGTTTTATTTGTACAAAGATTGATTATGAGAAAAACACGAAACAAGCTCACCTGTATGTATCAAGACTTTTTTTTTCTTCAACTAAAGCAATGAAAAACTGGTCGTGCAGTGTTAGAGGTACGTGGCCCATGCTTTCAGTACCTTTGGTATAAGAATAATCATAGCGCGAATTTTTCTGCTCGAGATTTCGAGTGTTGGGTTTAATAAAAATACTAACTAACAACGAAGAGCCCTCATTCATATGATATTTGGTAGAGGACATTTCGAACTTATATCACAAAGCGAAAAAATTTTGATTGAATTTTCTAATGAATCGAATTGAGTATTAAATATATGAGGAGTGTCCTAGGAGTTGTAAAACGATTTTAAAATTTATCATTCTCATACTAAATAATTACAACGTTTGAGACCTATAACTTTTACTAGAAATGAGAATTTGTAAGAACATTATCATGAACTATTTTATTAATTTTCGAATAACTTAATCTGATTATAAGCAATACAAGGGTATTTTCTTTGCGAACATATAAAATATCGATCGAAGGAATATAAAGGTTAATAATAGCAAAAGAAAGACAGATCAAGAGATGATTTGCGAAATATAATCATTCAAAATGATCAACATTCTAGATAAAGAATGTGAATAGCTGTCAATGCAATCAAATATGCTTTATCAGTCGAATTGAACTAAAAAACTAGCTGACGTTTGGTCTATAGAAGACATCTGAAAGAGAAATTACCAGAGATGAAATACATAAATTTTAAACAACTGAAAAATCTCACAAAGGAAACAAACAAACTTAGTGTTTCTTGATATCACAAATAATGGATAAGAATACCAACATGATTAAAATTAAAACAAAAATTGAAAAAATAGCATATTGAAGTTTTGTTACAGATTCTTATTATATACCTCAAACCTAGTAGTTACCCATGTGATTTAAACCGAATAGAAGCTGTTGGTAGTTCAATACTTAAATGGTTGACTATCTTCTGATCAGTGGTAATGCGTACAACATAGGTATTTAGTATTAAAAAGAGAACACTCTCAAGTAATCCGCTCCATTTGCGCCCATGCTTTGTCAATATGTAAGAAATTACTAGAATAGCGCAACCTTCAAAAGTTTTCTATTGATGCGTAGATGTGGTTGAGACAATCAATAAATCTAAGCATGAGCAGAAAAACTTTGGAAGCTTTGATTCTCTAGTAATCGCCTACATATTGGCAAAATATGGGTGCAAACACAGCAAATCATTTGGGAATATATCTTTGTGAGTAAAGTTTCAAAGAATTTACTTTTGTTTAATGAATTTTAAATAATCTCGGACATTACTTATAGTATTAATTTAAACTAATTTGTTAAATATGTTTTTCTATTAGTATTAGTAGTTATTTCATGTTAATCTGATAGAGATTCTGATAATAAATTTCTCTTTTTTTTTTTTTATTTAATTTAATTTTAAGAATCCAAATAAACCAAATTTTAATCATTATTTATTTGAAACAATAACTGTATTAATTCGTACAAGTATATCAAAGAATCCCGGTGTACTTGATCAATTTGAACAAATTCTATTTCCTGTATTTACACCGGTATTTACAGATGATATTGCTGGTACATATATATTTAATTAATTTTCTTATTGAATACATTTTTTTTTGATTCACATAGAATTTGTTCCATATGTATTACAAATAATTGGATTTCTATTGGAATCTCGTCCATCAGGATCAACACCAATACCTGATGCATATCGAGCATTATTTCAATTAATACTTACACCATCATTTTGGGATCGTAGTGGAAATATTCCAGCATTATCAAGACTTTTACAGGCATATATTGAAAAAGCAGGAGAAACAATTGTTCTTGAAAAATTAGTAAGTATTATTTTTTTTTGTTTTTGATTTTTTTAAATTGAAATATAAATAGACAACTGTACTTGGTATATTTCAACGTCTTGTATCCCAATCAAAAATTCATGATCATGAAGGTTTTGCAATATTAAATTGTTTAATTATTAATTTACCATCAACATATTTAAATAATTATTTAAAAGATATATTTATTGTTATATTTACACGTTTAACAAAAGCTAAAACACAAAAATTAATACGATGTATTATTGTTTTCTTTTCATATTTTATTATTAAATATGGTGCAAAAGAATTTATTACACAAATTGATTCTATTCAAGCAAAGTAATTTATTTATTTAAGAAAATAAAATACAAAAAAAAAAAACAAAATTGAGATTTTCTTTTTTTTTAGTATGTTTCGAATGGTTGTTGAACGTTTATTTATTCCAGAATTATCAAAAATTGATGAAAATGATAAAAAATTATGTGCAATTGCAATAATACATTTATTATGTGATCCAGAACAAATGACAAAAGGAATTTATTTTAATGATTTATGGTTAATATTATTACAAGCATTACTTAGCTTATTTCAATCAAGTAATGATTTACAAATAATGTCAGCTGCTGAAAGAAAAAAACAAGCACAAGATGAAGCTGAAGAAGAATTACTTGTTGGATTAGATGATACACCAGGTTATTATCATACCTTTTCTTTTTCAGTGATTACTCTATCTATGAAATTATTGATTTTTGTTTTTGGAAGCAGATTAAAATCTACAAGATAAAGTTAATTAGGATTTTGACTTTGTACATATTTAAAAGAGTTACCATGCTTATCCATGTTCAATCTATTTTTTAAAGACATCTGCTGACAGTACAGGAAGATCAGTTAATCGAAGAAAAAATTGAATATTTCTATCGAAGTTTGATCAAATAGGCTAATGACTTTACCGTTGATTAAAGAGTGTTCAAGGTTCATATCCTAAATGGAAATATTAGAAAGAATTGTTTTGATGTATCAGTATTGGTTTCGACATACAAATGTAGTCTTTCTAGATTACTGAAAAAATTAATTGTCAAAGACAATCTTTCCAGTTGACTCAACTTTGAATCAATTGGAGAGATTCTATGTCGGAAGTTTTTTTAGTGATCAGGAAAGACTACATTTCTATGCTGAAGTCTAATAATGATACATCAAAACAATGCTTTTCAATATTTTCTTAAAGAATATGAATCATGAACATTCCTTTATCAGCGATAAAGACATAAGCCTATTTGGTCAAACTATGAATTGAACATTGTAACAATGACTTTGGATATTTTTCAAGTCTAAATAAAATTCTGAAATTTATCTGCTATGAAGCAAGTAGCGACAACAATCGTGATAGTTCAATTATGCCAACAAGAAAAGTAGCTAAGCCTTCTCGCGAACTTTGCTAAAAAGGAAATATAGACTTTTGCTATGGTGTCTAGAGCAATAGAAATGAAAGGTCAGCAATAGCGCTTATCTGAATATAGAAGAGTTCTGATTGATCCTATAGATTTTTGAGTTAAAGAGTAAGCTCAAATATCTATCGATAATGATATTTTTACTTTTCAATTTTTAATTAATGATTATTTAAGATTATACTCCGGCATTTTCACGCTTGGCATTTGCTAAAAAGCCTCGTACAGATCTATTTGGTTCGAGTATTCCTGATGCTCGATGTCATTTAGCAAAATGTTTACAAACATTAACAAGTTCTCATCCGAATCAAGTTTGTTATACGTTTCTTTTGTTTGTATATTCAATAAAAAATATTTTATTTTGATAATATTTTAGTTTCTAAGTGTAATGACAAATGGTTTATCAACAGAACATTTATTAGATATACAAAAGTATTGTGCATTAGCAAATGTTACACTTTCATAAATTAATGATCAATTCAGATATATATATATAGATATTCTTTCAAATAAACTTCTCTTTTTCTTTTTTCTTCTCGATGAATTATTATAAATTCTGTTTGTAAAAGAAATTTAAAAAAAAATCATCTTAAACAAGAAAAAAATTCATATGTTTATCTCAGAGATAGTAAATATCAATATATAGTTTTCTTTCTTTTTTTGAATATCTTTAAAGATGAAATAATGAATCGAAACTCTCCATCGAATTCAAATCTTCAAACAAGAGATCGATCTCCATCAAATTCATCAGTAGGCTCTCATAAAACAATTGACTCTGGTCTATCAACAGCAAGTACAAACCTTAGTTCGACCAATAGTCGAAGAAGAAATGGATTTCTAGGAAAAATTGGAAGTGGTTTTCGATCAGTATTTCGACGATTTTCTCGGCCGCATACATCATTAACGGAAATGGAAACTCGTATATTGTCAGCAACAACGGGTTATAGTCGAGAAGAAGTTTTACAATGGTAAAAAAAATAAATTTATCTTATCTTATAATAGCATCCATTATACAGTACTGCTCAAAAATATAAGATCAACGTATTTTTTATTGTTTTTCTATGGTGCCATACATTTAATTCATATTTAAGTAGTATTTTGAATAGTTAATAAATCTGAAATCTCATAGATGGATTATGGCAGGAAAATTTATGGAAAACTAAACATGGTAGTTTTAAAGTACTAGAAGACTGTGCGAAAATTAGTTTTTCAGAATACCATCTTAAAGAGCATAAAAGTCTGAATAAAATAATGTATTGTCGCATTTCCTACGACCTTTCCTTAGAAAGTTATAAGCATTACAAAAAACAAAAAAACGCGTTTTTAACCAGTTTTTATCAATTTTATGATAAACATACAGTCTGTGATGTGAGAAGCGTTGCTAATATATTTGTGACGTAAGTGTGTGAAGTGGAATGGTCCAAAATTCTAATTCTATACTTCAACACATCTTTTATGTCGTATAACACAAAGATTTGCTGTGTGTTTCATTTTCTGTAATGCTGATAAGTTTTTAATGGAAGGTCATACGAAATGCGGCAATCTCTCATTTTATTCAAGATTTTATGCTATTTCAGATGGTTCTCTGAAAAGCTAATTTTTACATAGTCCTCTTGAACCTACGGCATACCATGTTTGGTTTTCCAGAATCTTTTCTCTTATAATTTATCTATGAAATACATTCACTAGAGAACTTCATTGATTATTCAAACTACCTGTTGGAATTGAGTCTAATACTTGATATCGTAGAAAACAAAATCAAACATATGTAAGAGTTCACTAATTCACACAAAGGACATCATATGAACTTTAATCTGTTTTATTTTAAAGAGTAAAGTATAACTTCTCAACATAGTCTAAGTATTTACTTTCATTTCTTCCAGATTCTGCCAGCAGAATATTAATTAAACAAAGTTTTATAATTAATCTTAAATACTTCATTCCGAAAAGTTAGTATCAAGCTCTAAATAAAGTCTTTTCAGATGTATTAAAATCCTTTTCGATCAAATGAAAGCATGATCATTGATAAACACAAAGTGGCTAACGGAGGAACCTCTCTAGATATTAAATTAGTCACTTAGTATTACCTTTCTGAAGATGTAAATATATGAATAGAATTTACTTTTATACATGAGAAAATTTCGAATATTGCGCTTTTCAAGTTAGGAGATATTAGAGAAGTTACAATTTTCTTGATAACCTAATCTCATTAAGAACTTTGTTTATGCAAAGTTCGAAATTAAGTCAAATCTTGTATTAGATAGTAAGTTAAAATAGTATTAAATTTAGGCATCAAAAATTCTTAACTGATTATCCAAATGGTTATATGACTCGAAAACAATTTATATCAATGTATAAATCATTATTTCCCAAAGGTGATGCTGAACGTTTTGCTCGTCATATATTTCGTGCATTTGATCTTGATAAATCCAATACAATTGATTTTCATGAATTTCTTATGGGTTTATCAATAACATCACCAACAAATTCAATAAAAACAAAACTTGAATGGACATTCAATGTTTTTGATATTGATGGAAATGGTTTATTGACACGACGTGAATGTTTAGAAATTATTGATGTTATTGTTCGATGTCATTTATCATTACAATATGATACACAAAATTCAAATACTGAACAAATAATTAATCGAGCTAAAACATCTATGATGAATATATTTGATACTATTGCTAATAATCCAGCTGATATATTAACTAAAACACAATTTATTGAAGGTTGTTCAAAAGATGAATTTATTTCTCAAATATTAGCACCAACAGCAAATACAGTATTAACAAATAGACAAGATAGTCATTCGAATGATTCATAACATGCATTGTAGAGACTTTTTAGTTTGTTTTGTTCTTCTTATGCGTTTTCATTTTTATAGATCTCAAATGTTTAGAATTCAGATGAAGTTATCTTCCAATATTTATATTGAAATGAACTATTTATCTTGCTTTTTTTGTATATTGAAAAAAAAAAATTTGCATTTGTATTTATTGAAAATAAATTATTATTTATATGGAAATCGAACGATCAATTCTATTTTATATCTATTCTCTTCAAAAAGATAAAAGATATCATTATGTACAACTTGTTCTCTTTCATATTAATCACTAGAAAGTATTTCCAACGTATCAAAAGCTATGATATTTTACTCTTTTTCAATATGCACTTATGAAATGTAGTTTCAATCTTTATTCGAGAGTAGTGTAACAATCTTTAACAAGCCTAAACAACTAGTTTGGATCAAAAAATTTTGTATTTTCACTTTTTGCGTTTAGAAACTAAAAAGTTAGGATGTTTATTTATATATCAGTTTGTAGATGAAAATCTACCCTACAAAATGCACTATTTCACGCTTTTTTTTTCTCTTCATTTGGATAAAAGCTACAGCTTCGTTCAACATAAAATTTTATAGAGAAATGTCCAATCTACAAAAAAATCGACTCTCAGAACTTTTATTCAAATTTTGATCGCGACTTATAGTTCTTGGCTCATCTGAAATGTTTTCAAACAGCCTAAAATGAACAAACATATTCACAGGAAATGTCCATGTACAGGTTCCGTCTAAACTAATTTTTTAGGCTTTTCAAAGATTATTTGACCACTCTCGAACAAACACTAAGACAAAAAATTTCTAATCTCATATTGAAAAAGAACACAAAATTATAACTTTTTACTCGTCGGAAATACTTTCTAATAGGTCAAAACTGAACAAACATCTTGTTGCAAAACTTTCCGATCATTCGTTAGTATATTCATTGATAATGAATAATAGAGACAAAATGTCGAACGTGAGCAGAGAGAGAAACATAAGTCTTTCTTCTATTTTATTACACTTTCAAATTATAGAAATCATGAATTTTACGTATGTAATGAATCAAGTTTTTATGATAACTGGTATTTTTATGGATGAGAAGATAAGACTACGATGATATTTGTCAACTAAAGTACGTATGTTATTATTTGTCATAACAGAAAATCTTTTGATGAGTTACATATACTTTGATTTAGCAGATTTATTTAAAAAATTCAGTTAGGTATTAATAATATATGAAGACGAATATTTACCAGCGATATATCATATTTTGAAACAAACATAAGCAGGCACTCTAAACACTTTCTAGTATAAGAAGAAGAAAGTGTCAGCTCGATCGAATGTATTGTGTCTGCGAAACAGACACGGTTCTTCACTTTTTTTATGTCGAAAAAACCATTTTTCTAAATCAGCGAAATAAGGTGTAAATTTTGATGTTTTTCAGCTGGTCTTCCATTTTTTCGACTTTTATAGTTATATATTAATTCTTGAAATATCTCCAGTAGATAGTGGATACCTCAAAGCATATTTCGAACAAGCCAAAACAAAGAAAAAATTAACACTCTAAAAATCTTCGGCCAGAAACAGGGTTATCAATATTATTTAGGGGCAGGAGAGGCAAAAAATTCTCGAAGCAAGTGCTTTTCTCTTTGGAGTGCAAAAAGTGGTGACGATGAGAGTAGAACGAAATTCACTGTGACCTGTCTTCTTCCATAACAGACAATCTGCCACCGGGTCATCACTTTCCCACGGCTCGCTCCGTTTCTATTCACCTCGTAATGACATTATCAGTTTATTTTTATTTCACTTTCTGCCACAGAAAGGCAAATGGTGTTCCAAAATCCAGTTTCTATTCAAAGTTACTACGAAGCTTTAAAAATTTGCAGAAAAATCGGACATTTTGAGAAGGAAGAAAAGTGCACCTCTCCCTAGTCAAGAATCCTAGCTGAGAAACGGACAACAATCTCGTCAAGTATGTCAATCTACAATTCATTCCACTAACCGATCCGTATAAATATTTATAATGAAAACAATATTTGCATGAAAGAACGAATTCAATGAAGGAAATTAATCGATACATGTCGGTTGAAACGACACACTTATTAAGTAGTTGTATAAGCAATTCATTGATGTATTAACATTATCTCTATGCTTTTCATATGACACCAATGTCATAGAAAACAACCAAAGAAAAATTTTTTGTTGTACAAAATGAAAAAAGAGAGAAAGTGCCTTTCATTTACAATTAACAATCATCGAATGATTTATCTTTTTCTTCTAATCATCAGTATAACATATGTGATAGCCTTGATATCAAAGAAAAAATCTTTGACACATTGATAATATACGAAGAATATTAAGATGGAAAGATAGGATTGTATCAACAAATAAACTTGATCAGATATACATATTTCTATAATCAACACAAGGAAAAGAAAAAAAACCTAAGAATACTTTGATACTCTCATTGTATATATATATGATGACAGACAAGCCATCATCATTGCTCGTGTCAATCATACGGTATGTTTATACAAATGTCTGATCATATGAGTAGTTGCACAATGAAATGTGCGTTAATTTCTTTGATTACTGATAAAATACAAAAAAAAGCAAAAGATATCACTTCATCTATTATTCAATGAATATAGTAAAACAAAAGAAAAAAGAAGAAAAAAAGAAAACATAAATGAAAATGACCTCGGCTTAAAAAAGAAAATAACGATGAAATGAAGATTAATTATTGTTATTTGTATTATTATTCGTACGTAGTTTGGTTTCTGTCATTGGTAATAAAGACAAGTGAGGATAAAAAAATGGTAACTGATCATTGGCTTCAATTATCCTTGATGTATTTAAATATGGATGAAAACGATGATGACGATGGTGATGATGATAATGAGATATTTTTGATGTTCTATGACTATATCGAATATGTTCACTTAATTCATCATTTGAATAAAATCTTGCATTACATGATGACCAATGACAAATATATGGTTGATTATTTATTGAGTTTGAAAGAATATATCGAACTGTTTCGCATTGTAAACAACCAGGTATTGTACATATTGAAGAATATGAATGTTGTTGCGAAGCTAAATAAGCAAGAGAAGAACGAAGAAGTAATGTAGCTACAGATTTATTTGGATCATATAGAGGTGTTAAATGATTTGATAATAGATGTGGTTCGATGAAAGATGATGATGTTGATTGAATATTTGTTTTTAATGGAAGTGCAGATTTTTTACGGGTATTTATATTATTTAACTGTGAAGGTGATGAACGTTTAGTTGATGAAAATGATTTATCAGTATTCAATAGATTCGATGAAGATTTTGTAGAAAGAGATGTTATTGTAGGTGGAATTGAATTTACAATTGATGAAGGAGATGATGGACTATCTTTTCCAATACTTGAACATGTTTGAGCTAAAAGAGCTAATGGACTTTGACTTGAATCATACTATTGAATGAAAAATAAAACTATTTTTATTTTATTTCAAAAATAAAAGAAAAATATTTACTGAATTTGATGAAGATGGTTGCAAATAGTCCGATTTTGAATAAGTTTTCGTTGTTGTCGTTGAAGACATTTTGCTTTTTTTTTTTGATGACAATGATGATTGTTTGTTATTATTTCTACTCTTTATCTATGAAGTCAATGAATTAAAGCTTTTCCTTATATCTCTGTTTCTGTTCTTTCTCGCTCTCTCTCTTTTACAGTCATATAGAGAAAGAGAAAGAGAAAGCAAAAAAAAAAAAACGAGAAAAGAAGAAAAAAAAAACAAGAACGGATTTGTATGTGTGATAAATGATGATCATACTTGAGACTCCCAAGCGAATATACGTGCACTACTGCTTGACATATGACAATTAGAAAGAAAACGATGAGTGATGACAATAATGAATAAGAGATGCCATTTATTCTCTCTGATGGCGATGTAGCGTGCCGATTTCTAACTTGGATTTTACATATACATTCATCTATCATTTGTCAATCGGCATAAATATATATTTTTAAATGATAAACGTGTAACAAACACACGATTCATGTCAAATATGTTCATAAAATAAATTATATTCAATATTAAACAGATATATCATTTATTTTAAAATAAATATTAATCATTCAATGACAGTAATATGAAATGTTCTTTAAAAAAAAATTATATATATATATATATATATATATATATATATATATATATGAGCCTCGATAATAACCAACATTAATTGAAATGATGAATGCCGACAGTTGTGACAGAAGAGGTTAACTTCTCTATCGACTTGTCATCGCCATTAGCTGACCGACAGATAATAAGAGAAAACATGTCGAGAGATACACGTGTTGTCTTGATGTGTGTATAATCATCATTATTGGTCTTTCATTAGTCAAATCTTCTCTTTAACTAATAATGGTCTTGATCAATCGTTAAGTAAATGAGGCTTCACATAAGATTGTTGCAAATGCGACTAACATTAATCATTCATTATCAATCGTTATTTTTTTAACGTCGCAATAACAATATTCTGTCATGAAGAAATCAGTCAAAGAACGAACGATTGATTTATTGACGATGATGATACAGATAAATGACTTATTGTGTTAAACAAAAATAAAAGTCAGATAGACTAATATTTAACAAAACTTAATTTTTTTTTTTGACAATTCACATTATTCAAATTTCTTTGACTATATATATATTTTATGACAAGCCCATAGAAATATATATATATATATATATATATATATATACATATATATATTGATTGACATTGATGACAATGTCCGATATTTATCTTGCTAAATGATTGTTGTTGTCATTTCATTTGTATATTTATTCTTTTTTAGAAGAACGACATGCTCTCGTTCTAATCAACGCTGACAAACACATTAAGATAGAGGACAACAGCATAAATTAGAACTTTTTCATATGTTACTGTTCGAATCGATAATATGCATATATGGTTCAATCTATAAGTTATCATTGCATCAATCGATATATCCATTGACTTTTTTTGTTCTTATCTTGTGATTTTTTTTCTTTATTTATTGATAATGATGATTAGATTTGACATTTACCATTTATAAAACTTAATCTCAATAATTTTTTTATTGGCTTTTTTAACGTATTAAGTCATTTAACGCATTTGAATATGACATGCATAGTTGCTTTCGTTTTTCTAAATACAGTAATTGGTTTTTATACGCATAATATAAAGAACAAAAGAAAAAGATCAATTATATTTATGTATTATATATAATCAAAAATAACCGATTTAGAATTGCTTATGAATGGATATTCAAATGCGAAATACTGTTTTTTTTCTCTTAATTAATGGAATATGAATGAATAAGATTCTTATTGATGACTGTATTCGATGTCGCTTGTTGATGACAGATGCATAAGTGTCGCCCTCTTATTTTCGAACTTCTATCAACATTCGTTTCATAGCAATGAACGATTCGATGGTGACGTATATATTTATATACTGTTTGTAATCTTATTAAATTCTTGTCTAAATGTTTGAATATTAATTTTTTTACTATTCATAATGGCATCGAATTCAACAATTCCTCAAGTATCTCAATTTCCAGGTGATCGTACAGCACCAAAAGCAAATCTTCGTCTTGAATGGGTTTATGGCTATCGAGCAGCTAATTGTCGAAGTAATGTACATTTAACTGAAAATAATGAATTAGTTTATTTTTCTGCTGCTGTTGCTATTGTTCAAAATATTCATGATAAAAATCGTAATCAACAACGATTTTTTCTTGGTCATGATAATGATATTATTAGTTCATGTCTTCATCCAGATAAAATCACTATTGCAACAGGTCAAATTGGTACAAATGCACAAATTTGTATATGGAATACACAAGGAATAATAAAATTAGAAAGTCTTTTACAAGGACATGCAGATGGTGTTGGAGCAATGAATTTTAATGCAGATGGAGAAGTACATAAAACAGAAAAAAAAAACAATTCTTTTTATTGATTTTAATTAACTGATATTTTTTTGTTCTTTATTTTTTAATTAGAAATTAGCTAGTGTTGGTATTGATCATGATAATACAATTAAAATTTGGGAATGGCGTCGTGGAAAACTTTTAGCAACTGTTGCTGGACATACAGAACGTGTTTTTGATATTATTTATCATGGTGATCATGTTATTACTTGTGGTGTTAAACATATTCGTTTTTGGACATTACTTGGTAATACATTACAAGTTGAAGAAGGACAATTTGGAAATTCAGAAGCACAAACACTTTTATGTCTTGGACATTTTCTTACTTTGGATACAAAACAATTAACAGAATCTAAAGATAATGATTATTTATGTTTTACAGGAGCTATTAATGGAGATCTATATGTATGGAAAAGATATAAAATTGATCGAATTATTCATGGAGCACATCAGGTAAGATTTTATATATATATATATAATAGAAGTAACGAGTTTGAAACATTCAGAATATAATGTTGCAATAATTAATTTATGAGAAATTCTTTTAAAAAAATACAAACATTATAATAAGTTCAATATTGTTACATATGATTTATAAGGCTATTATACAGAATAGTTCTAAATGACAAAAGTTAGATTTATTATACATTAATAGATTTGAAATAATTTCTTGAAGAAGAGAAGTTATATGAGAAACATTAAATAGATTCTAGTCCATTTCAGCAAGTTAGAATCGATTTGTAAGTCTCGTACATTTTACGGAAGACAAAATATATGATTGTCTTATCAGTAGACTGACAAGACAAGGATATAATAAATCATTTTCTACAGATTCAGTATATTTAACTATCATTTTAATTGATTAGATGACATGTTAATTCTGCATCAAGTATCATAACAATTAGGAGAAAAATACTTTTTTTACAAGTTAATTATAGAAAAGTGATTATAGTTACTAATTTAAATATTGTCTTTAACTAGTCAACAATTTATTCAATTGATATAAATCCTAATGGTTTTCTAACAAGTGGTAAAGATGGTATTGTTAGACAATGGACAAAAGATTTTACTCCTATCGGACAACCAGTTTATATTCCATGTTTAATCAATGATACAGAAGGTAGACAAAAATAAAGCAAATTTGTCTAAATATATTTATTTATTTTTATTAGATATAAGTGTATGTGGTATTGCTTCACGTAATGGTTATTGTGTAGCGGGTACTCGTGATAGTGAAATCTATGGATTTGAATTAAATGGAAATACTATTCCACAACTTCTTGTTCAAGGTCATCATGGTGATACTTTATATGCATTAGCTTGTCATCCACGAGAAAATATTTTTGCTACTGGTGGAGATGATGGTTCACTTAGGTTGGAATTGAAATTTGATTTTTGTTTTTGATTTTTATATAAAAGAAAGATTTTTTTTTTCCTTCTGAATAGATTTTGGAATGCTGAAAAAATGTCAATAATAACATTTTATTTGACACCTTATGTTCCATTATCACCACCTCCTGATATTCGATCGTTAGCTTTTTCATCAAATGGAAATCAAATAGCTGTTGGATATGATAATGGTTTTATTGAAATTTATCCAACATTGTTGGTTATTTTGATATTTTTTTGTTTTATAATAAAAACAAAAAAAAATTTTTTTTTTTTTCATTTAGATTAAAAGAACAAAAACAACTACGAGTTGAACCATTATATACAATGAATGATCGTACAGATCGTATACAATCATTAGCATTTTCTCCAAAAGATAAATATCTTGCTGTTGGTTGTGCTGATGGAAGTTTTGATATTTATGATGTTGGAAATAAATTTCGAAATTTACTTTTTAAAAATCCTGGTAAAATAAATATAATTAATTTTTTATCAAAATACAATATGATTCTATTTTCTCTTTTTGTTTTCTAGGTAATAGCATATCTGTTACAAATATTGATTGGACTGATGATGAAAAATATGTTCATTTTACTGGAGAAAATAAAGAAGCTTTTATAGCTAAAATACCATGTAAATATTAAAAAATTTTTATTAAAATTTCAATAAATTATTTATTTTTTTAATAAAGCTTTTGAAATTGTATCTAATGATGAAAAAGAAAATATACGTCATTGGTCAACATTTACAAGTTTACAACATAAAGAAGTACGTGGTATATGGAATAAATTTGCAGAAAAAACAACTATTGTTGCAATTAATGGAAATGAACATGCGGGCGTTATTGCTGCTGGTGATGAACAAGGACTTATTAAATTATTTCGTTTTCCAAGTGAAAAACGTGGTGCTCATTTTAAAAAATATGTTGGACATTCAAGTAGAATCGGTACATTAAAAGAAACAAAGCAAAATTAATTTGTTTTTTTTTTTTTTTTCAAATTAATTCTTTCTCTTTTTAAGCTGATGTTTGTTTTCTTCATGATACAAGTCGTTTAATAACAATTGGCAGTGATGATCGGACAATAATGCAATGGCATTTTACATCTGAATCAGATTCAATTGCAATTGTTGATGCAAAACGAACGAGTATTGCACCAACTTCTTCACAAATGGGATTAGATGCAGCAATTACTGGAGATATACCGGATGAAACTATTGAAGATGCACAAATGTTACAAACAGCTCAATATACTGGAGGTTATTTAGATTCAGATTCAGAAGACTCAGATTCAGATTTAAGTGGTGTTGAAATCGATTCAGATATTGAAAAAGAAAAACAAATTTCATATGATAGAACTTTATATAGAGAAGATTATCAAGTAAAATTTCATTTTTCTTTTTTTTTTTTGTATATTAAGAATTATTTTAATTGATAGAAATTAAAAAAAACAATGAAAGAAAAACTACCACCGGGTGAAAAGAGAAAAAAACAACCTGATGAAGGTCTTACACTTGATTATGTATTTGGGTAGGCAAAATTCATTTTTTTATAAAAATCATATTTAATTAAAATAGATATCGTGGTTATGATTGTCGAGATAATGTTTTTTCTTTAAAAGCTGGTGAAATTGTTTATCATGTTGCTGCACTTGGCATTGTTTTAAATACAGAACAATATCTACAAAGATTTTATAATTGTCATACAGATGATATTTTATGTTTAACTGTTTCACCTGATATGACATTAGTTGCTACAGGACAAGTAAATTAAATTAATCTAAAATTGTTTTTCTTTTTTTTTTTTTATGAAGGTTAGGAAATCACCTAGAGGTTTATTATTTTATGCAAATGTACAAAAAATAAAGAAAGACCTATAAGCACTTCATGCATTATTCATAGACTTCATAGTAAAAAGAACAATGTAGAAAAAAAAAATGTATTTTTATGGCTTTACAGTACTGATCAAAATTATAAGAATAGGGTATTTTTGTTTCTATTTCTGTGATGTTGAGTACTTAACTCAAATTTAAATTACTATTTGGTTAGCCAATAAAGTTCTTTATAAAATGCACTGGATATCAAGATTTCATACTTGAATTATTAAGGAAAAAATCTTCTAAAAAACTAAACGCGGTAGTTTTCAGGTCCTAGAAGACAAAGATCGAGCCGGACTGAATTTTTGACGATCGATACCGGTACCAGTTTGAACAAGTCAGATCAGATCGGACTGGCCGATAGCCAGTACGGATTCTATCTTTGCTAGAAGACATTGTGGAAGTTCATTTTTAATAGTACCATTTAAAAGAACATAAAATTTCGAATAATATGTAAGGTCACTACACTTTGTATAAAAAAGTGAAATCTATTTAAAAATAGTTTAAAAAATGCGTTTTTGTTTTTCGTGATGCTTGTAACTTTGTAAGAGAAGATCGTTAGAAATGGTGTGATCCCTCATACTGCTCAGAATTTTGTATGCGTTCAAATGACATTCCTAGAAAAGAACTCTTACAACATCTGTTGGAAACTAAAACTTACCGTTTTCGGTTTTGAGAAAACGTTTTCATATAATCGAGCTATGCAATCTTAATATATAGTGCATTTCATGAACAACTTTATTGACTATCCGAATATTGAGTTCGATTTGAGTTAGGTGCTCGGCACTATAGAAAAAACATTAAAAATATCTTGTTCTTATAGTTTTGAGAAATATTATTGATGTATGAACAATGAATATATCTCGAAATGAATATGAAAAGAAATAATAATAATAATAATATAAAATTCGCTGTAGAAAGAAAAATTTTATTTTGCTTATTTTATTTATTAAAAATTTACTGAACACAATAAACCAATCAACTAAATAAACCATAAGCGGTTCCAATTCAAGGACTACTGAATAAATTCAGACTACTCGAGTATGTAGGTAACTGTTCAAGTAGTTCTTGAATCATATAGCTGATTACGAAAGAACTCTTGAGTTCAGATTTGAATATTTTCGAATATCATTAACTTTTACCTATCATAGGCAACCATGAAAGCTTTTCTTTTAGTTTTAGTTCTACTTCTTAGATTTACGAATTACCTCAAAAACGACTGCATTCAAGACCGAACTCGAACTCAAATGTTCGGGTTTGGTACATGCCTATTCATTTATTTCGAAATGAAAAGTTCTTATTATTTTTAAAAATATTATTTTATTATTATCGACTGTTTTTGTTCTGTATTGAATCAAAATTAATTGATCATGTTACATAACGAATATTTCATTCTATTTTCGAAGCTCTATACAATTCGAAAAAAAGAATTGCTTTTCTATTTACATGATGTCAACAAAATATTCTAGACTATATTTTAAAAAAAAATACGTGAGATATGTGTTTTTGTTTTTGGATATAGGAAAATGCATTGTAAGTGCATCTTAATCAATAGATAAAAAGCAAGATATTCTTAATAATTCTCTATAATAAATAATATTTTTCCTATAAAATAAAATTTAGATTGGTCGTGATCCACCTGTTCATGTATGGGATCCAGTAACAATGCAAACAAGTTCAATTCTGAAAGGTCAACATGATCGAGGCATTTGTTCTCTTGGATTTTCTAGTAAAAAAAAAAACAAAAATAATTTAACAATTAATTTTATTTATTTATTTATTTACATATTTTTAGGAAATGGTAAACTTTTAGCTTCAGTTGGTTTAGATGATTATCGAACAATTGTTATATGGAATTGGAAAAAAGGAGAAAAAATATCATCACAAAGGTTTGAAGGTTTGTTTATTTTTTATTTAAAATTTTCATTGAATATTCTAGAGGACATAATGATAAAATTTTTTGTTTACGTTGGAATCCACATGATGATGCTCGATTTGTAACTGTTGGTGTTAAACATATTAAATTTTGGGCACAAGCTGGTGGTGGTATGACATCAAAACAAGGTCTTTTTGGAAAAATTGCTGGAAAACAAGGAAAACAAAGTCAAATGTGTGTAGTTTTTGGTAAAACAGTTGATAGTTGTATAACTGGTGGTGGTGATGGATCGATTTATATTTGGACAAATACATCATTAACAAGAACGATTCCAGATGCACATAAAGGACCTTTATTTGCAATAGCAGCAGTACAAGATAAAGTTAGATTGTTAAAATTTTTTAATTTTTAAAAAAACAAAAATTTTTATTTTTTATTTAGGGTTATGTAACTGGTGGAAAAGATGGAAAAGTTATACTTTGGGATCCAGAATTTAAGAAGAGTATTAAAACATATGAATTAACAAATAAACATTTAACTCCAGATTCTCGAGGTTGTTTTAGTTAACTTTTATTGATATTTTTAATGGTTTTTCTTTTTCATTTAGGTATGCTTACTGAAGAACCAACTGTAATTCGTGCTGTTACTTTAACACGTCGTATTATTGTTGGAACACGAGGTGGAGAAATATGTGAAATTGAAAAAGATGGTCGAATTCGTATTCCTATTCAAGGTTTGAAGCATTTACTTCAATAAATTATTTTTGAAAAATTTTTTTTCTTTTTTTTGAAAACAAAAAAAAACTTAGGTCATGCTGAAGGTGAAGTGTGGGGTTTAAGTACAAATCCAAAAAAATATGAAATATGTACTGTAAGTGATGATAAAACTGTTCGAATATGGTCATTAAAAGATCGAAGAATGCTTCGATTTAAAACTTTTACAAAACTATTACGTACATGTGAATATTCACAAAATGGAAAAACAATTGCCATGGGAACAAAAGATGGTTTGTTTATATTTTGATATAAACAAAAAAAAATAATAATTAATTTAGGTCAAGTAATGATTTTAAATGAAACAGATTTGAATGTTATTATGTCTACTAACCATAGAAATCAAGAAGTATCAGATATCAAATTTTCACCAGGTAAAATTTTTGCATAACAAAAAAAAAGAAGAAATTTCAATGAAATTTTTTTTTTTACTTCAATTTTAGACGATCGATATTTAGCTGTTGGTACACATGATAATTTTGTAGATATTTATAATGTTGAAACACAAAAACGTAAATTTTTATAATTTATTTTTTATTTGAAAAAAATATAATCAAATGATTTGTTTTTGTAGGTGTTGGTATTTGTAAAACAAATTCATCTTATATAACACATATTGATTGGGATGCAAAAGGTTTAGATTAATATGATTTTACTTTAATAAAATAATTTAATTATTTAGGAAAATTAATAATGACAAATTCAGGTGCAAAAGAACACTTATTTTATGAAGCACCACGTGGTACAAGAATAACATCAATTAAAAAAGCTGATATTGAAAAAATGGATTGGTTTACATGGACAGGTGTATTAGGACTTGTTTGTGAAGGTATTTGGCCACCAGCTACTGATGTAACTGATGTTAATTCAACTCATTTAACCAAAGATACACGAACTTTAGCAACTGCCGATGATTTTGGTTTTGTTAAACTCTTTGATTTTCCTGTTAAAGTAAAAACAAAAAAAAGAAACAAATGTTTTATCAAAAAGTCCTTAAGGAGAGTGGGACTAACCTCTCCTATAATGTTAATTTTTTTTTAACCACTTTATAGAGCAAATGAAACGACAGATATTCTGTAATTTTTATGATGGGATAGCTTTCACAAGTTATGAATCTTTTGGCGCTCTTTATTAGCATAAAATTTCGAAAATTTTTCGAATACAAGATTTTAATCCAATATTTACATATTTTGATAAAGCAATAGAAGTTGTATATATCTTGAAATTTTTGCAACCATATAATGAGTATTTTATGAGAAACACAGATTTTCCTATAAAGATACGTTTCACCTGTCCATGCTACAAAATCGGCTCGTAATTGATAATTTTGAATATTATAGTTTTATCTACAAGTAAAATGCTTGTGATATTTGGAATCAACATAGAAAACTGAAGTGAATAACATCTGTTTTAATGAAAAATAGTTTTTGTTAAAATGTCACCTGCACCCTCCTCCCTCAGCTCTTTTTTTAAAGTGATTTCGTCCGTAAACAAATTTTGACGAAAACTATTTTTCGTTAAAACAGATGTCATTCGACTCAGTTTTTTTATGCTGACTCCGAATATTACATGCATTTTGCTCGTGGAAAAACCTATAGTGCTCAAAATTGTCGACTGAGGGCCGATTTTGTAGCATTTTGAACTGGTATAGAAAAATTTGTTTTCTTTTTTCTGGAGAGAGTTGTTGCAAAGCTTTAGATTCTGTTCTACTTACTAAACCCTACATTTGATGAGGCATCTTTTGGTCAGAACGGATTTTTTATTACAAAGTGTCATAGTTTTGCAATCGTTGGCAAGGTTTTTCAAAAATACTATTGGACAGATAAATTGTTTCTCATAAAATACTCATTATATCGTTGCAAAAATTTCAGGATATATACAACTTCTATTGCTCTATCAAAATCTGTAAATATTGGATTAAAATCTTGTATTCGAAAAATTTTCGAAATTTTACATTAGTAAAGAGCGCCAAAAGACTCATAACTTGCGGAAACCATCCCATCATAAAAATTACAGAATATCTATAGTTTGATTTGCTGTACAAAGTAGTCAAGAAAAAATTAACATTTTAGAGAGAGGTCAGCCCTCTTAAGTCAAACTTTAATTTAATTTTTAGGGAAAATTTGCTAAATTCAAACGATATACAGGTCATAGTGCTCATGTAACTCGTGTTCGTTGGACATTTGATGATTCTTATTTAATATCAATTGGTGGTCGTGATGTTGCTACAATAGTTTGGAAACATGAATTTGATCGAGGAACTACAATTCTTACAGATTCTATGTCAAGAACTACTGTTAATGCAAGTCCTACAACAGTTAAAAATTCAATGTCAAGAACTACTGTTAATGCAAATCCTACAACAGTTACACTTCCTGTTCAACGACAACCAGGTGAAAGTGACGATTCTGATAATACAGATTCTGAAGAAGAAGGCTATGATTCGGATGTACAACATGATCGACGTATGGATTATAATGCACGAATTCTTATTAATCCAATTCGAACAAAAACTGATGTAAAAGATATACGTAAACCAACAACAGAGAAGCATAGACCAATGTAATTAATTCATTGATTTTTTTTTTAAATTTGTTTTTTATCAAATATTTTTCTATTTTAGCCGTTTAAAAATGAAACCATCAGATAGAAAACCTCAAGATGAATTAGCAGTTGTTAAAGCTACTTTCAAGTAAATTAAATATATAGAACTATTGATTAAAGATTAAATTTATTATTATTTTTCTTATTTTTTAAGATCTGCACTTAGTTTAGGTTTATTAAGTGCAACACAAATAAGTTCAAAACAGGAAGAAATTGTTGATGATGATAGTAAACCACAAGGACGTATTGTTGTATGTAGACTTTTTGTTCTTCAAAAAAAAATCGTATTTTATTCTTGTTATAAGGATCTTCAATTACATCATATTCATGGTTATCGTGGTTTTGATTGTCGAGATAATTTATTCTATTTACCTGATAATGAATCAATTGTATATCCAGCAGCTGGTGCTGGTGTTATACATGATATACGTCGAGGTACGCAAAAATTTTATTTAAAACATACGGATGATATTATATCAATGGCTGTACATCATGGAGGAAAACATGGAAATATAGTTGCATCAGGACAAATTGGAGAAAATCCAACAATTCATATATGGAATCCACAATCAATAAAAACTCTTTCCGTCTTATCTGGTAAACATAGACGAGGTAAATTTGTTTTTTCTTTTTTGAAATATTATTTTTATTATTATAATAAAATTTTAAAAAATTTGTTTAGGTGTTTGTTCATTAAGTTTTTCAGCAAGTGGAAAATTATTATTATCCGTTGGTGTTGATGCACCATATACAATAGCTGTATGGCGATGGGAAGAAGGTATTTTTTTTTGTCTATTTAGAAAAAACTTATCAGTGCAATCTGTTTAAGGCAAAAATGTGGAATTCATATGCATTCTTTAGTCTTATACGTTAAGTAAAAAATTTCTAGCAGATTATAGTTGTTTTTCAAGGATAATCAATCGCCAGCGAGATGATCTCTATTATTTATTTCTGCATTTCGAAGAGAATTTTTTTTACTGGTACTAGTTTTTTGCTTACCTTGCTGCTTTTAAATATTCGTATTCTGTTTTTCTTAATTTAATATTATTATTATTATTATTATTATTGTCACCATGAATTTAACTGACTAATAAGCACGTTGTACCAGAGATATCCATGGCGACACTACTGCCGCTGTGACGATGTCGTCGCGGCAACTCTTTTAGGAAGAAATTCCGAAAATACTTGAATTTGCACAGAATCTCAGTGTTCATATATATGTGATACTATAAGACTTAGCAAATCTGGTCGATTAGCAGCAGCAATTCTAGTACAGACTAGTCACGGCCTTGAAAATCGAAACATTTCTTCCAATACCATCGCATCACGGTAGCAGCGCGTTAGTTTTTCTTGGTTATCATCGTGGCGCGGCAATGACAGATTCTCAGCTGCGATAGACATCTTTGCGTTGTACATATTCAATATATCTACAATAAGTCTCAACTAGAGAGCTGCGGCCTTATGTTTTTGTGGACCAGGACCCGACAAAAAGAACAAACCTTTGGACCCCGGCCCGGTTCCGAATCTGGAAGGATCCGCAGCTGTTTAGTCTCAATGCATTATCATATATCTCAATAAGCTCAGAAATACTAATATTGACTATTTCTCTAAGTTTTAACTTGATCAGTACACACTTTTTATGTTGATCATATGATGCCTGTGGCAAATCACTACATCACTATGAAGATGAAAATGCACAACTTTAGTACTGTAAAGCACTGAAGTCGTACTTTCCTCCCTTCGATCGTTATCCATCATCCTTAGCATCTTGAGTATAACTTTTTTTTCTCTGTGCAAAAGTCAAAAACTACAGTATTTCGAACATTCACAAACGTATTCCAGCCGTTCAGATTTCGAAGAATGCCTTTGGAATTTTCTAGAACAATCAATGTCTTGTTTTTTATACTTTTCAGCGTCTTTTTCCGTTGCTAAGGAGCTCTTAATAAAGAAGTCTAGTGTCTGTTATCTCTTGTTGCCAGAGAGACGTACCCGATGATCGCTAATCATCCATCGCTTTCCCAATTGCTATCGAAGGGAAGTCACAAGAGTTGGGCAGAAGTTTTCAATTTTTCATTTTGTTTTCTTTTCAGGTATTAATGTTGCAAGTACAACTGCATCCGAACAACGAATATTTCGTGCATTATTTCGTTCGGATTCGGATACACATTTTGTATCAGTTGGTGTAAAACATTTAAAATTTTGGTCGGTTGCTGGAAATACATTAGTTGAAAAAAAAGGTATTATTACAAAAACTGCCGATGGAAGACGATCATCAAAAATGCAAACAATGCTTTCAATTGCTTTTGGACCAGTAAGAAAAAAAGATTTTTATTATTTTTGTTGAAATAAAATTTCTTTATCTTTTAAAGGATGAGCGAACTTATACAGGTAGTATGACTGGTTTAGTATTTATTTGGCATGTTAATACATTAGAACGAACAATAAATGCTCATACTGGACCGATTTTTTCAATGTTTAGTTCAGATAATTGTATTGTTACAGGTGCTAAAGAAAAGTATGTTATGATAATTTGTTATTTATAAATGAATGAGTTTTATTTTTAGACGTTCTCTTTCTTCAACCGATGCACTTAAACCACTTAAAATATGGGATTTTAATATGAATAATGGACGATCAATAAAACTTGATTTACCACAAACGGATACAATTTGTGTTCGATCTGTTTGTCGTAATTCTCAAGTAAATTTTTTGCTTTTGAATTTTAATAAATACATAATAGAATTTTCTTTTTGTTTTGTTTGGTTTTCTTTAGGGAAAAATTTTAGTCGGTTTAAAAACTTCTGATATTGTTGAAATTGATGAGAGATCATCCAGTTCTCAATCAGCATCATTAGTATTTGGACATGGTGAAGGACAATTATGGGCATTATCACCACATCCAACTAAACCATTATTTGCTACAGGAAGTTATGATCGAAATCTTGTTATTTGGACTACAAATACTAAAGTAAATATATTTATTTAAAATTAAATTTTTTTGAGATAATTTCTATTTTTCATAAAAAAAAAACAAAAAAACCAGACTCTAGGTAAAACTCGCGTAAGTAAAGTGTAGAAAGAAAAAAATAATCCATCCTGCCAATTCCTAGATTTGGTTACCCTTGTTTTATGTATTCAATTTAGATAACAAAAAAAAAAAACATAAAATAAAATATATTTTTTATTTAAGGGTCTTTTAGTAAAACGTGATATGGGAAAAGAAATTCGTAGTATTTCATTTAATCCTGATGGAAATTTATTAGCAGTTGGTTTTAAAGATGGACAAGTTAGTTTAGTGAATTATTCAGTTGAAAATAAAGAATTAACGGAAATTATTAAAACAAGAGAACGTAATGCTGCAATTCTTTGTGTTAGGTATTTCATTTAAGAAGAAAAAAAAGAACATGAAATATTGATAAATATTTATTTGTACTTTTCTTTTTTCAGATTTAGTCCTAATGGCAAAATCTTAGTTGCTTCATCAGAAAATTTTTGTATTGATTTTTTTGATGTTCAACAGGAAAAATTAATACGTATTGGTTATGTAACACATATTGAAGATGCTATTTCACAAATAGATTGGGCTACAAATTCAAAATACATAAGAGTAAAGTTTTTTAGATTTTCACATTTTTCTTTTTTTGCTTTATGAGTATTTTTTTTTTCTTCTGTTTAAGGCAACTACAATTGGATTTCATGGATTTATTTTTCGTGCACCTGCTGGTGAAGAAGTTAAAAATCAGGATGAAATTGAAAAGATTATTTGGAATACTTGGACAAGGTTGAGAAATTACGTTTTAAAAATTTATTTGAATAATATTTTGTTTTTGTTTAGTCCAATTGGTGATGATATTCTTGGAATTTGGCCAAAAGGTGTTAAAAAAGATCATATTAATTGTGTACATGCAACATCATCAACAATTGTTACTGGTGATGATCATGGTGCTGTTAAATTATTTAAATTTCCATGCCCAGAACCTGGAGTACGGATTGAATTTTTTTTAATTTTTGAAATAATAATTCTAATCGAGGAAAATAATATTCTAGGCTGAATGTAAAACTTTTTATGGTCATTCTGATAATGTAACAAGTGTTCGATTTCTTGCAAATGAAAGATATTTAGTTAGTTTAGGTGGTGATGATTGTTGGTAAGAATATTTTATTTATAAATTTTTTTTTATTTATTTGTTTAATTTTTCTTCTAGTATCTTTCTATGGAGATGTATTACCGAATCAAATATTCACGATGAAAATTAATTGTTTGTTTTTTTCTTCAATCATTAATTAATAATGCAAACTATAAACATATGTCTAACGGTTTTTTTTTTTCATTTTTGAGTTTTCTTTTTTACCAATAGTTTTTAAAAACGAAAACTGATTTTAGATAAAAAAGATAAATCGAAAATGAATTATTATGATGAATCATCTCTTGGAAATTTTTATCAATTTCCTTCTTGGTCAACATCAATAACTCGATCAAATACAAGTTTACCAAATAACAATACTAATCATATGTTTAAATTACGTGTTGATAATCGAAATCAAATTGAAACTTTATCAAGAAAATATCTTAGTCGACATAATGCTCACATTTTAAGAGAATCACGTCTTTTTTCACCTCCACCACTTCATCAACCAACTCCAACACCTGATATTTGTTCAACAATTGATAACATATCATTAGTCTCATCGACTTATCCACCTTATCATTTACAACCTATTCGAGTTAAATCAGCTCAATTGACAATTCCAGTAAATACAAATTCAGAAGAAATTTTATTAAAAAATTTTCCAAAACAAACACATGAACGACGTAAACATATGCAAGAAAGAATACGATTAAAACAACAAACTCAAAAACACGCTCAAATTGATTCAGATACTTGGTTTCAATTGAGAGAATCATTAGCTGAATTAAAACGTCTTGCAACAAATGAACAAGTTGTTGTAGATCCATCTACGTCACTTTTTAATTGTGATGGATTTTCATTTGAAGCACTTAAACAAGTTATTAATCAACAATCTGAAGAGAACAAAATCAACAAATTTAAACATGAATCAGGTTGGTAAGTTATATATCATTGAAATAATTAAATAGAATTTTATTGAAGAATGCAAATGTATTCATTTCATAAAATACATTTTGTTTACTAAAATATTGTAACAGTTCTCATAAAAATTCAATTACTATTTCCATTCGTACGAGATAAGTTGTTCAAATGATTTATCGCTTTTAAGTCGGAACTGTGAACATCATGTAGGCCCTAAGGAGCTTTGAATATCGCTGAAAAGAGTTTAGGCTTTTAACTTATTGCTGCGAGAATAATAATTTTTTATAGTATTTTTTAACTCAATACGGTACTCCTCCTTTCAACAACACAGGAAAAACTGTTTTTCGAGTTTCGACTTGAAACTTTGCACAGAGACAGACTTTGTCGAGAATAAGTTTATGGTGAAAGTTTCAAACCTTTTGATTTGCTCCTATCGTGATATAAGAATAGAAGCAAATCCAAAGGCTTGAAACTTTCACCATAAACTATTCTCATTAAATCCTATCTCTGTGCAAAGTCTCAAGTCAAAATTTGGAAGCCAATTTTCCTCTTGTTCCTGAGATGGACTAACGCACTAAGTTAAAAAGTATCATAAAAATGTAGTATCCCCGCAGCAATAAGCTAAAGGTGCAAACTGTTTTCCGAGTACTTATAACACATCAGGATCAACATGGTATACATAGTTCTGAATGAAGGGCGATTCAGATATATCATTCTCAAGAAAATCCTCAATGAGATTTCATTCGAATTATTTCTATACATAAATTGATATGTTTCCTTGGTCAAAATAAATCGAAAACCGTATATTTTCCATTATTTCTTCGCACTATCATTGTTCTATCTCATATTTATATCATAGATACATCCTCAATTGCGTAACCTGTTCTGAAAGTTTCACTTCTATAGACTGAGAATTGGCAGAGAAAACAATAAATATGTCTTATGTAGTTATGTATTACTGGAATAATATTTTCTATTTTTTTGATTTCTCTATCATTTTAGATCCTATTTAGAATATCGTGTGGTAGTTACGTAGTTTTGAGACATGACTGTGCAACGAGACATCTTAAGATGTCTCGTTGCACAGTCATGTCTCAGAAATACCTAACTACCACACGATATTCTAAATAGTATCTAAAATGGTAGAGAAATCAAAAAAATATGGTCTCAGTAATACATAACTACATGAGACAGATTTATTGTTTTCTCGACCAATTCTCACTCTATAGAAGTGAAACTTTCAGAATAGGTTACGTAATTGAGGATGTATCTATGATATAAATATGCGATAGAAGAATGATAGTGAGAAGAAATAATCAAAAAAAATACGGTTTTCAGTTTATTTTGGTCAGGTGGATATATTACTGTACAATTGCTTTTAACAATAGAAAGAACATTTTCTCGATAACTTAGGGCAGAACTGTCAAGAGACCTTTTTTCGACTTGGCTCGGTAGCATGCAGAATAAACCAGACCCATTGATATTTCTGTTTTTTAAAAATCCATTTAATTTACATGAAGATAGGATGTGCATATGGGTGACCATGTGTGAAGAGGTGACTCACACCGATATCCCCACAGTATCATGAGCTTTTGCTGCCATTTTCTGTTTCAAGTTATACTACAGAAAATAATATTACATTATACACAGGTTAACAACTTTGATCTGGTCTAGCTCGATCCAATATTATATGGACGGATCAGGCCAAGCCAGAATTCCAAAATTCAGCCTAGACTGGTGACCTGCCAGCAGAGCCTATCGAGTCCAAAATTTTCTGAATTCGGACGGAATCTGATGGACTCTACTTGCCAGACTGACAGCTCTGATTTAGACTCATCTAAATTCTGATATTCTTCTATCATAGATAAATGACTAGTCTAATTCATTATCTGATCATTCATTTCGTTGATCAAATATCATAATAAAATATGTAAATAAATTTTAAAAAGAAACTTTTTAAAAATAGGTAAACATTCATCAATGAATTTAAGGCCTACTTCGAATATTATTCGTACACCAACAATGATACCAATTTCACAAAATCCTTTATCTCGTACTCGGATAAAACGACGAGCAACAGAAACTTATTCTCATCCAACCTTTGAACCATTAACTGTAGCAGCAAAACCACTGCATTCTCCTCTATTAATGGCTAATAATCATTCATTGAAAATAAAAACTAAACAAATAAAACCACCATCAACAGCATTAGGACGTATTCATTCTGCTTCACCATCAACGTTAATACAATCGACTACCGAGAAACATGTTCACTTATTAACATCGGATGTATCGAATAATGATGATCCTCTAGTCTCATCAATACCTTCTCCTCGATTTCCAGACGTAAAACAAGAAGAAGAAATAGAAAAGACAGCTGGTCCAATAGTTTCTGAATCATCTAATTGTTCAGAAATTCTTTCAAATATTTCATTAAAATCTAAGACAAAATTAAAACCTCAAGTTCCACGTTCTCGTAGTGCTATGGAGATAAAATCTTCATATAATAAAAATGATCCACGTTTTATATTAATAACTGATCAAGAACATCGAATTGAAAGTTGGTATCATCAATATCCATTTATACTTAGTGATGATCTTCTTCAATTATTTCAATCAAAATCATCAAATAAAACTACAGTATTAGCTTATTTTATTGATGATGATCAACATTTCATTAATTCAAATTTAACAACTAAAACAATTTTACAAGGTAAACCATTTCATATAAATAATGATTGGAAAAAATATGATCTTATTTTTATATCAAATAATATTTATCAACAAATTATTATTTATTTACAAACAATTATTAATTTAATTATAAAATCATCAGGAAAAGTAATTCATATTTATCAAATAAATCATCATGAAGATTTAAAAACACAAGTTAGATATATATGTAAACAATTAAATCAACAAATGTTTTCTCATGTTTAATTTTGTACGTTAAAAGATAGGAATGCACCGATCCCTAGAACATTATCTCAAAGATGACTTTTTTAATCTTATTCAGATTGTAACTTCCTGTTAATTATTAATATCAGCCCTGCTTGTGCATGCGCAGAACCACAAGAAAGAACAATTGCTGAAATTGGGACCGGAACACCAGTTTATAGTAAAATATTCTATGCTTTTAAGCAAGTTATCTTTTAAACCATATGAATGAGAGCATAATTGAAGAAAGATGATAAAACAAAATGCTAGTCGTTAGTTAAATAAATAAAAAAAAACAGAGTATTGAAGAATTATTTTAGACGTGATACGAAGAAATTCTAAAATAGTTTTCTCTAGACCGATAGATAAAAAAGTTACCGGAACCAAAAACTTTGGCCCTCCATGTCTCTAACTCTGATTCATTTTTTTTTTTGGTCTATTACGACAGGCATGAAAAATTGTCAGGGATTTAGTAGTTCTTAATACTAGATATGCAGTTTTTAAGTAGGGACGAATCAATTCCTCGAATTTCTATTCGAACATTGAAACATTTTCAGTATTGAACATTACCAACTTTCAACGATTTTTAATGCGAGTTGTAAAAAGTTTTGAACGCTCTTTTCATCTAATGTAAAATCAACTGAGCTTTGTCGTAGAAAAACTTAAAAATACGTACTTTCGACTGATTCAGAAGTCTTTGTTTTCTATTCCATGAATTTCGACCACAGCCTTAGATAGACCAAAAAAGAAATCTAATATCAATATAAACAGGGAGTTACATTCTAAATAAGAAAAGATCTCATCTGTGACATTATGTTCTAGAAATTGGTGCAACTCTATTTAAAGATATTTTTTGATCTTATTGTAATAATTTCACTTATTTTTGAATATAATAATGATATTTTTAATAAAACTATTTAGTTTTTTCTCTCGAAAAATCAAAAGAACAAAAGAAAAATGTCGATTTTTTTTTCTTCCAAATTAACATACAAAAGAATTTTTATACTAAATACTAAAAAGAATTGAAAACAAAAATTTATGCAAATCCATAACTCAGTGAAACACCTGTGTTGTACAATAAAGTTCTAATAGATAGATTTCGAAATAGATATTAGATAAAATTAATGTTAATTATAAATGATCATTAACTGTATTCGATTGAAATTCACGGACCATGATAATATTTACTATTATGTGAATGCCAACAAGGCGTTATATTTCAATGATTCAATTAGATAAGGAATAAAAATCTGTTGGTTATGGATTTTCCAAAAAAAAAATAAGATCACTTTGTATACAGTTCATTCTTCTTTCAAAAATTGTTTGAGTGTCAGATACTTTCATATCGTTTGAAGTTTTTAGAATACGTTGAGACCATGATAAAATTTTCAGCTATATACTCTGACGTTTTAGTAAGATATTCACAAAATACGAGTCAAAAGTAGTTCATTTGATTTTTACTTGTTCCCTGTTCATTGCGAAATGGATGATGGCATGACATTAGAGAGAGAACACCAGATACTACTATATTGCAGTATGAAATCAATTAACTCCTTTCCTTTGTTATAAAAGAGTCAACAAGAAGATAATTGCGCCATGATGAAAAGAAAGGTAGAGCTAAAACTTTTTTCTCACCAAGCCACAATTATCTTCTTGTTGATTCTTTTATAATAAAGGAAAGGAGTTAATTGATTTCATACAGCAATATAGTACTATCTGGTGTTTTCTCTCTAATGTCATGCCATCATCCATTTCGCAATGAACAATGAACAAGTAAAAATCAAATTAATACCCACACCCTCAAAACTAAAGAATTTTTATTTATTCCTTTCTATTTATTGAATATGAAACGATATCAATAGTATAAACTGTAGACAAGTTGTACTACACAACCACACACCAATCATGTATAGATACAATATCGATTAAATAAGAATGGATAAGTGCATTTAGAAAAATTTTGAAAAAATAATCAAAATTCAAGTTCTACTTTTAGTTGATAGGACTATAGTTAGTTAATTTTTCTTGAGTATTGAAAAAGCTGTTTCACCTTCGAAACTTAGTAAAACTTGTTACGAAACTTTTAAAACTTACCAAAGCTCCTATTTACCTATATGAAAATCATAAAATCCATACTTATAAAAAAAAAATGTGTTTTTCGAACGAAGATGATAGAAATCGTCGAAAATTACATTAAAAATGGGATGTCGACCAATAATCCATCTCGATTATGACAGATCACATTTCAGACAATCTTTCCACATGTTTATCGGGATTTCGGTTTTTCTGAAGAGAAACTTAAATATCTTCTAGATAATATAATTAGATTAATTAGGATCTATTTTCTATGAAATATTTTGTTCGACAAAATTTTCCTAAGAAACAATCGTTATAGATGAATATTATAGTTTGCGAAAAAAAACCACTTATAATGAAATTTAGTTAGTAGTTCGATTTTTTGATTAATAATCAATCACTGACATATTGTCTTATAGAAATTATTCACATTTGTTAGATTTTTTTCTCAAAATCGTTGTATTATCTCCAATAAACACTGTTATCAATCTTATTCGAAATTTTTTTATTACAAAAAAAAAAAAATGCATGATTAACATTATACTCGATTAAATTAATAAACTATCTATAAAAATAATTTGATATATCTGTACATAGATTATTGAAATTTAATTGCATCTAAAAATTCTTATCATTCCTCGACTTGATGAATTAATTTTGAATTATCGTGATTGATTGAAATCATTGTTTCAGTTGCTTTTTTTAATTTAAAATCTTCGATTTTCAATCGATGAGATTTTACATAAAGAATTAATGAAAATAAAACTAATATCAAACCAAATGGTGATAGTATCCAAGATAATTTATATGATGCAGTCATTAGAAATGACCAAAATAAAATAAAAACTAATGTATATATAAATAGAATATAAACTGTATAGATTCGATAACAATAATTAAAATGATATTTAATTATCCTTGTATTTGATTCAAGTTGTTGAATATAACGATAAAAACATGATGAACTTAAACTATATGTTAATGGAAATATAAAGAAATATAGCTAAAATTAACAAAATAAATTATACTAAAATGAAAACTTTTATGTTTTTCATATAAATTACTTGAAAAATTCCTACAAATATTTGTGCATCGGGTGGTAAATAAACTTGTTGTATTAATGTACCCCAAAGAAAAGTGACACCAAAATGACTTGATGTTAAATATCCGATATACCATGGACCTTATGAAATAGAAATATCTAATTGATTATATAAGAAAATGAAGATTTTTACCGATAAAATAATACAAAGAAAAACTAAATAATGAATAAAATATAAAATCTACTGAACAAAGACATATCATTCGAAGACGAAATTGATTCCATAATGTAAAACGAATAATAAAATTAGCTGAAAGAAAAAATAGAAGATTTTATTTTCTTATTTTCGTTCATTCATAAGGGAAACAAAAACAACAATTAATAACATTCGTAATATTTTTAACAAAACTATCAATCATAAGAAAATAGTTAATCAAACATTTCATTATGTTTTTTGTATTAACTACATAATATCTATTCTTATGCGTAGAAATAATTGACAAACATGGTATACATATATTGTCCCGTAATGATACTACGACATATGTTTTAGTATTTTTTTTTTTTGTTGATGTTTGACCTTTATGTTAATGTAGTATTATAATATTACTCATTTTTATAATCTGTTATTGTATCTCCACCTACGATCTAATCTCATTTTGTTTATTTGATTACCTTCACATACATAGTTAATGTATCAAGAAATCTATTTTATGTAATTGATTTCTTTTGACTTACATGAATTTTGTTTTACTTGATAGCGATAATATAATAATGTAAGAATATATGAACATAAAGATGAAATTAAAATAATAAAACCCTAAGAAATACAAAAAAAAGATATATTTATATATATTTGGATTTGTTTCTTTTTTTTTACAAAAGTTGGTTGATGAATAGTAAGAATTATTTTCGATTGATACCATTTTGTTTTTTTTAATAATGATAGAGAAAATTCATGTTGTAAAATTACTGTATTATTTCCATTATCCTTAAATTATATAAATAATATATTGAATAAATTTATTTAAAAAAACAAAAATTTCTTGTACTTTAATTTTAACAAATATTTTATGAAGTTTTTCATCATTATATAAACTTGTATTCCATGGAAAAATAAATAAATTTTGATTATCAATTGATTGAATAGCTGAACCAATATATTGTTCATCAATAGAAATATTTACATTAATAATAGATAATTTTGAAAAAATAACAATTCTAAAAAGAAAAAAATTCTTTCTTTTAAATGAATAAAATCTTTTTATATTTGTTTTGTTTTTTTTAAATAACCTGATATGTGTACTTTGATTTAGACGATAGAATGGTTCTCTTGATGTTAGAAATTTTGCTGCTTTTGGATGTGATATAATAGCATAAATAGGTTGACTAAATCGAAAATCTTCGAAAGATAATAAACCCGAATCAATGGTTAATATACGAAATCTTTACAAAAGTAAAAATATTTTTTTTTAATTTTTTTATTAAGAAAATAAAAATAAACAAAAATATTTTTACCGTCGTTTATCTTTCCAATCTCCTAATTCAAGTTCAAGTAAACCATTTGAATGATGAGCATATAAATGTTTTATACCGGAATGAAGATGACCATTTATATAAACTAAACCATATTTCATTATTTGATCAATTCCTTTTGAATAAGTAAATGATAATGGATAATGACCGAAGAATATTGTTGCAGTAGAATTTTTAGTTTTTTTAAATAATTTTTTTAAAATTTTCATTTCTTTCTAAATATTTCAAAAAATAAAAATTTCTTTAGAATAAATAAATAAACATATTTACTTTACTAATATGACCAAGGAAATTAAATGGACGACCAAGACCTGGTCGTGGACACATATCAATACCAACAAATGAATAAGTATCATCATCTTTTGTTGTTAATGTATGTTCATATGAACCACTATGATCATGTCCTTGATGTGAATAAATACTTAAAATAACAAAAATTATTTGATTCAAAAAAGAAAAATTCAAAATAGAAAAATGAATACCGATAGAAACTTTTTAATGAATCTGGATCTGGATCCATAAATGCATCTATTTATTAGAATAATAAAAATTTAATTTCGAAATAAAGTTATCTATTTTTTTTTCTTCTTCTTTTACCATGATTTCCTCTTATATCAAGCCATTTTGTATGTTTTGTAACATTAGTTCGAATTAATATATCTCTATAAATATTCCATTCTTGTTCATATTGTGTTGTTCCAAATAATTGATCCTTTGAACTGCTTACACTGTTCACAAGATCACCTTTTAGTATTAAAATAATTTGTTATCCAATTATTGAAAAAGCAAAAAATGAACAATTAGAGTTTATTTACCTGTTAAAATAGTAACTTGTGGTTTTACTAATGTTTTTATAATATGATTACAAAATTGTTCAAATTGTTGCCTTCGATCAGCATGACCGAGATGAGTTATATGAGTATCTGTTATCTAATAAAATAGTTGAATTATTATTATTCTTTTTTTTGCTCTAAAGAATATAATTACTTGCACAAAATAAAAAAGATGTTTTCCAGTATTACCAAGATATTCATTAGATATAATAGATTGTCTATTAAGTATTAATGAATAATTTGTGATAATATTTAGAAGAAAAAGAATCAAGAAGAAAAATGAAAACATTAATCAGAATGAATAATATGAATATAATTGAGATTCAACATGATGACTCAATGATTATCTAAAAATACATAAGAAACAATATTTCATATTGTTTAACGAAAGAAAGAACAACGATGTTTTTTTTTTCTCCAAATTTATATTTTATTATTTTTGTATTTTAAATTTATTTATAGGATAAAAAAAAAATTTTTCTAAAAGATTGAATAGTTTTTCGATAGAAATTAGGGAGGCGGAAGTGACAAGATAGTCGTCTTCACCTTCAGGAAATTGTTTTCCGTCTTTTTTGTTCAGCAAAAACAAAATTTTACTAATGCGGATGAACCTTACATAGTGATTTTTAATTATATTACATTCTTCTTCGAAAAAATTTTTCATTCCAATTCAAAATTCTAGATTTATTGCTGCTTATTTGGAACTTAAATTAACTTTTATATAGAATATGAAGTACACTCTCATATTTATGAGTTTTGCCATAATTCATTCTATTGATAAATATTAATAAATAAGATATTTATGTATAGATACCTATAATAAAAGTAATATTATGCATGAATTCATTTTATATTTGAATTACTTTTTCAGAGGCGTAACTTAGTATGGAACACTGAGTGATTGAGTACTAGAAAAAGAGGTACTTCAAGGATAATTTTCAATAGTACGAGAATTGTTATGTGGATGAATTTCAGAAAGGGAAGGGCATCACGCTCCATACGTCTCCCATAAGATACATTTCTGGTCTTTTGTTTTCATGAGTTTCTATTGTTTTATGAATAAATACAATGCATCACAGCTGTTCTACTAAAAAATGACACTTGAAATTATTGTCTATGTTTCTTTTGTTTACGTTTTTTTTCTTCTTCTCCCCTGATAACTTTAATAAGAAAAGAAATTAAAAAGAATTTAATGATTATTCATTTAATCTTTCTGTATTAAAAAAAAAAAAAACTAGAAAATAGAAGAGCATGATCAACAAATTCCACCCACTATTTTCTCTAATGCGATTAGAAACATATATATATATAAATATGTGTGTTAATTGTTTGTAAGGTTCTAACGTTCGAAAAACTTAGACGTAAGTCCAAACAAGATATTAATCGAAGAAAAAGAATTATTTCCTCTATATACTAACTCTCGATTGGTTTACTTCTCTTCTTTTTTCTCTTTCTCTCTTCTTCTCTCCCTAAGGTATTTTCTCGAAGCAACCAAATATAAACAGTATCGTTACACATAGTCAACATTTAGTATTTTTGCCATTTTATCAACAAGAAATTATAATGATTGTCCGTTCGTCATTTTCTCTAATTCTAATATGTATTCTTTTTATTCATACATTATATGCCATTAATCCAGAATATTTTCATCAAAATAATCAAGAACAACAATTATCATCATTAATTGAAACAATGAATAAAGAATTATCTGATCAATATTCAAACATGGCTTCATCTGAACAAAATCAAAATTATAATGACAATGATGATGATGATGATGATGATGATCAACCAATAAAACGTAATAAATATCCAAATTTTCATCTTAGCCCATTATGGTTATCACGTCGAACACGTACAAATCGTATCTATGGAAAACCATTATGGATTTCGCGAACAGGATAAGAAACAAGAACAAAAAAATTAACTTTCTTCTTTTTCTGATTAAATAAATATCCAATTTTGTTGTACATCATTTTCTTCTTTTTCAATTTAAAAGTTTCATCTATATAAATTGTATAAATATTCAAAGAAAAACAACATGATATAACGAATTGGATATATAATATTAAATTCAATTCAAGATTTTGAATAATTTTGTTGTCATAAACTTCTAATAAATAGAAGACAAAAGAAAAAACAGATAAAATATTTTTGCTATTGATCAAACATTTATTTTCCTAATAAAGGAGTAAACTATGTTCATTACATCATTAATTCTTATAAGGATTATTTTTCAAAACAGAACATTGTTTCAATCATAGAAACTATTATAACTATATATTTTATTCTTAAAATAAATTTTTATGATTTGATAAATAATTGAAATAAAATCGTCAACAAAAAGTTAAACATAAACTTGTATTAAATGACATATTTTTCACTTTCGAGTTCAACAGAGTATGAGGAAATAATAATTTTTCTATCCGTATTGAATATTAAATCAGTATATTGTCTTCTTTCATCTTTTTTTTTCTTATTATAATAAAGATATAATCTACTTAATACTCATATTCTTTCATAATGAATCTTAGATATTTTCTTGTTTCATAAAAAACATACTTATCTTTTCTTTTGCTCGAAAAATACAATGTTAAGTATTTAGGAAAATCCTTCTTTGCTAGATTCTATTACAAATAATGTTTATAAATAAATACCTTGTCTGTGAGAATGATAGTTAAGTATTATCTTGGTTTTATTCCTTAGTCAGATTTAATTATATGTTATAACTATGAAAAGAAGTCAAAATAAAGTTTTCTATTCATATTATTTTTGACGGATTTGTATACATATTATATCATTGATCAAGAAATGAAACCATTAATAAACTCAGTGAATTTCTCTTTTTTCTAGATCGATATACATATATATTTCTTAAATAATTTCTTTGAAATAAATTTTTAGAATATTGAGAAAAAAAAATTTTTTATAGAAAAAATTCACATGTTTAATCAATTGATGATTAGCGACATCTGGCATGGCTATGTAGTAATCGATGTTTTTAGATTTATTCTTTCCAGATGCTTGTTTTTAATATATGCTTCAGCATAAGATTCTTCTCTGAAAAAAAATTAGATCTAACTTTCTAGCAAGATCCATGTAGACTGAATTCTAGTTGATTAGGTAAGAAGTGTCTTGTCAATAAGATTCTTCTTTTCTTCAATTCTTATCGGATTCTTATTAATTAAATGTGACCTTTGTTATAATTTAATAAAACTATGTTATTTTGTTGCTGGTCTATTTTTATTTTAACCTTGGAATAAAATGCATTGAAAAGCAAAATATAGTTGCAAAAAAAAACGTATATATCTAATTTCAGCAACTTTAGATAAAAGATAAAACGATGAATATTTATAGTTATTTTTAAAAAAAGTTGTTTCTTACTCATGAAATAAGTATGACATGTTCATCAACAAAAAAAAAGAAATAAACAATCAAATTAATCATTTATCTACATAAAAAAATCTATATTAATTCTTATTATAATTTGTCTTCTTTCCTTCTTCATGTAAAATCAATAATGTTCATCTGACGCCCATGCATTCAATTTTGATAATATTGTTTTTTTGGTAATTTTCTTAAATCAATTACATTGTGACTCATTAATGGTTCAACAGATGGATTTCTATTCAATATATGCGTTTATTTGATATGGGCATATAATTTATGCATTATCAAAATAGAACGTGTTTTGTTCATTGATTTTAATACAAGAATTATGAACTGATGTTGTATAATAATGAATAAATTATGTACAGACGTTTATATTAATATACTTTGTTATATAGACATTACATGACCTTGGTCTTAAAGGGTAGACTATAGAATGTTTTATCTTACCTATTAAAGAGAATTTTATCTGAACTGTAAGAGATCTTAATTTTCATATCATTAATTCCTTGATTCATTGAATAAGATCATTTTTATCTTGACTAATCGATTAACAAAAAACAAAAAATTTGAAAACAATAGATCTAAGAACATCGACAAGTGTATTGATTTCTATTAAACTTCTATTTGAGAAGTACAAAACAATCTATGAAGAATATATTTGTATAATATAAAAGTGATCTCATCTAACGAAAAAAGAAACAGGAATCACAGAAAATATCAAGATTACAATTCTTCTTCCGCCACCTATTGTTATTTAGGAAATAGACTCTTATCTTGTTTTCCTATGATTTAATCTAGATCACTGTATGTCTATCCAGAAATACATTAGAAACTTTTGAGAGAGAAATATCTATTTCAGAGATAGAAGATTACGGTAACATTCTCAGAATAAAAGGCTATTCACAAGATAAAATTCATGAGGCGTAAAAGAAGGTCATGGTTTTCCAAAATCCAACGTATTCTAGAATATAAAAGGTTTAGCGTTTGACTAAATTACTATTTTCTTATAGTAGAAAAATGTTTTTTAAGTGAAAGTTCTGGTTGCCAGACATTGATTTCCTAAAAATTCCTATTTGAATATCAGAAGGATTTTTGAAAACCTTTAGTTTTTTAAATAAATATTAGACAAAAAAAAACTCGTCCTGAATGAAAAGTTATGATCTTTTATTTTCCATAGATTTACAACCAATAAATAACGAATTATAATAAATAAATTAATTTGTGATCTTTCCCATGAGAACAGAAAAAAACCGAATATTTTAATATATTTGAATAATTGCCGACTTCAAAGTATTGAATTGATTTTGAATGTTCACGAATGATTTATTTAACCGTTGAAATTACACGTTCCTATCGTGTATTATCTATATTTGTAGTCAGTTTTAATAAAATAGATGGTATCCTACTCATTAAAATTGATACTTTTCCTTCGAGGACTAAAAACGAGACTGTATTTGTCTCGATAAACATTTCGAATGTAATTCAAGAGCAAAGTGATGAACTTTAAGTTACACTTTGTACTAAAGTCAAAATTTTATAAAAGAAAATCTCATTGTCAATGAGTTTTAAATAAGAAAAAAAAATTTATCAATATAAACTTAAAAGAGATCTGAGCGTTTTATTTTTACAATGATTTTATGTTTAGAATTGTTATACTTTTAATTTATGAAAATATCAGATTATCATTATGTTTCTATCAAAAGAGTTATTCAAAATATAACAACGCATCTTTTATCTGTGAGAACTACTATTAACTAGTTTTAACATGAAAGATTTTCTTTGAGATAAATAGAAAATTCATGAGCATTGTTAATGGAAGAATATATAACTGTCCTTCGATCTTATTCCTACGTAATTGATCAATAAATTCTCTCAGAATGTCAATTATGCGATCGAATATATAATAGCGTATTTAAATATGATTTATTCACCTTTACGATACATTAAATCATTTAAATATATTCTTCATATAATCTATTCAACATAAATCTCCATGAGAAAAGTTTTTTCTTTTTGTTACAATGAGAGAAAAATATTTCTAAATGATAAAAATAAATAATCGATTTATTTTCTCATATGTAAAATATGAACATAAGAGATATATGTATAAAGTCACAGGTTATTTTTCAGTAGATATTATATTATCGATAGGTTGATCAAAATTTGAAGAATCATATTTTGGTGGTGGTGGTGAAATTTGTTTTTTATCATCATCATCTAGACTTGCTTGAACACGAGTTGCATTAGCAAAACTTGTTTCCATTGGAACATAAATTCTATGACCAACTGGACGAATATATGATGAACCATTTCCTAATGGATCATCTCCCATCATACCACCGGTGGTTAATGTTGCCATACAAGGATTTTGAAGTTGAAGTTCACGTTCTCTAAAATAATTTCAAAAAATAATTTCATACAAAAAAAAGAAAAGGAAATATAAAATTAATCAAACCTTGAAACTCGTCGTGATAAACGATAAGTAACAAACGTTCGAATAGCAAATAAAATAAGAAAACCAATTATTAAAATTATTACAATTGATGAAATAATCAATACAAATAAACCAATACCACTAACTAAATAAACAATTTTTTTTTCAAAACAAAACAAAACACAAAAAATCTTATTATAAATCTCAACTTACTTTTTTGACATCGTTTTCCTGAATGAAAAAAATCACAATCACATTTATAATCTCCCGGTAAATTAATACATGTAAATGATCCACAAATTCGATCATTTGCAGCACATTCATTTATATCTAATTCACACATAAGACCTCCATAACCCGGTAAACATACACATTTACTCGTTACATTGGAACAATAACCTTGAAAAAAAACAAAGATTCTTTCCTTCTCTCTTAATTGAAATGACTGACCTCCATTAAGGCATTCATAACGGCTGTCGCAGATGCCATTTTGTGGTATTTCTATAAAAAAATGACATATATATATATAAATATATAAATATAATTATTTGGATATGAATGTTCAACGGATGTTGGAATTGTGGTTTACGCTCTTTTGACAGGCGCATAGAGGAGGAAGTATTACGTAAGAAAAAAAAAAGAGAATTTTTTTTACCTTGAAGCACACAACGTCCGGTTGATGAAGAAAGAGCAAAACCAGGAAGACACACGCAGCTGACACCGCTCACATTTGATAAACGTATGCATACTGCACGACTGTCACACTTAGCACAATTGGGATCATCTGCTTGGCCGATTACTAGTAATAAAAAAAGAAAACGAAAGAAAGATTGATTTAAATGATTCAATAATATAAAAAAATATTGATTTGTTTTTTTTTTATTTGAATATCTATGAATATTCTTTTCTTTTTTTTTTATATATATTATAAAAGACACTTTTTTGATTGAACACTTGAATAAAATAATATGATTGACATCGAATAGCTCTATCGATTCTTTTCAAGTAGAGTTTTATAACATATGTATTGCACAAGAATGCATTCTCGATCTTATTCACAATTTCTTAAGTGTCAATTGATAAATCTCTCATCTATTTTCATCATATTCCGTTTTGTCTTATTCAAACATATAAACGTTGATCAAACTATATGTTAACTTATTACTACTAGTGTCAATTGAACTCCAAAGGGGAGGAACGAATATTCTCGTCAATTTAGTAGATGTCTTCAACAGAAATAATCTGACACTTGTATTACAATATTAGACAAACATACAGCTTTTACTTAAAGGTCGTCAGTTTGAATTGAAATTTGATCAGTGACAACTGCTGAACATACATATATATAATGTAGACAGCGGAACCAATTTATTTTGTTTTTGTTTTATTCTCTCTCTCTCTCTCTGACTCTTTACTTACCTGTAATTCGATTTTGTCCATAAACGATCCCAATAGGAATAAGAAATAAAAAAAGAATCAAAACGATCGTCGACATAGTTTAAAGATTAGCTGCCAATTCACACCGAGTATAAGAATGATTGTTTTAAAATGAGCTCGTGTGAAAAAATACTCTTCTCTTTTCTGTTCTCATTCTCTTGCGCAATGGTACCAAAAAAAAAAACTTCTCTCACTTCTTTTCTCTCTTTCTCTCATTGATCAACGAAATGAAGCAAGAGAAAAAAAAACGAGACTAGTACATCTATTCTCTCTCTCTCTCTCATTCTTATTCTAATTTTATCCTTGAAAGAAATCAGCAATACATATACTTATGCCTACTCATTCATTAATTGATATTTCATTGACATATTTTGATGAGAAAATAATCATTTTTCGTTAAACTTTTTATGATGCCAATATCTGGTTATGTACTTTTTTTTTTTCATCACAACCAACCAGATATAAATCAAAAGCAACAACAAAAGACAAGCGAGAAAGAAAATCATGAAGCGAAAAAAAAAAAAAGACTGAATACATATTAAAGAGTATATTTAAGTGCACGTGTATAAAACACAGATACAGTGTTCTAAGAAGAAAGCACAAAACATCAGTTCAGACAAAAAAAAAAAACAAAAAAAGAAAAATCAAGGATGATACAAAAAATCGATAATCAAATGATCATGTTCTTGGTTATGTTTTAAATAATCGACAAGAAAAATGAGTAATAGTTGTTTATCTAAATAGATTAAATTTAATAAATGAATAGAACAAAAGAAAAATTTTTACCTTAAATATTTATTTTATCGACTATTACGAGATCGAGATCGTGTTCTTGAATGTGATCGTCGTTCTTCTGATTGAGATGAACTATTCGATCGAGAACGTGAATATGATCGTGAATGAGAACGTGAACGACTATTTGAATGACCTCGACCACTACCTGATCGACTACTTTCAGAACGACTACGACTTCTAAAATACATATTGTTAATAAAACAAAAAAAAAAAAAAAAAAGAAATTCATTACCGTCCTTTACGTCGTGATGGATTTCCATTTCCTTTTCGTCTTGGACTACGACTTCTTGATGTTGACCTAGAATTATTATTAATTATTGATAATTATTATTTTATTTCAATAAAAAAAAACAAAACTTGAAAAGAGCAAAAGAACACCTACTTCTTTTTTTTGTTCGTTTTAATTGACAAATGATTAAAAAAGATATTTTTTTTCTTTTTCGTCGTAAAAACAAAAATGATATTTTCTGTCTACGATTTTATTGATCTTATATACACACCTTTCAATATTGACGTGAAAGAAATAGAATGAATAATAAATCGAGAATTCTTCTGATTTTGATCCGAATTGTTTCAAAGATGTTTTGTTTCATTATCTGATATATTTCTAACTCCCAATCGAACAGAATAACAATATATAAAATACGACGATGAACATCTAGCGAATTTTTTTGGATCGTTTCCATCAATGTTTTTCTTCTCGATCTAGTAGTAGTATCAATGCATCGTACACATCAATCGCTCGCTCGTTTCAATGTCTCTCTTCATCAACGTGTATGTGAACTAAAAACAGATACTTTCTTCTTTTTTTTTAATGTTTACAATTCATTAGAAACAAAAAACAAAAACAAAAAAAAGAAAACAAAAACATCAATGATGACTTCATTTAAAAATATATACATGCAAATATATGATATTGAGAATATTTTTTATCTTACCTCATACGACGTTGACGTCTTAATCGAATTTCACAATCATATGCATAATGACCACGATCTTAAAAATTTAAAAATAAATTAACAAAAATTTTCTCAATCGAAAGTGTATTATTTCAAATTAATAAGAAAGAACAATCATTGAATTTTTAGAACTATTATATATTTTAAAAGTTTTATCATCATCCTAGAATCTCGTATTGTTGTAAACTAAAACTTCAAAACAAAAAAAAAACAAAAACAAAATATGTTTTTTAATTTAGACTAGAATCATTCAAAAAGTTAGATTTTCAAGTTCATTCGTTCTAATTTTTCTATTTACTAATATTTCATTCAGTAAGAAGAATAAAAAGTTTCATTTGAAATTTATTCAACACTTGAAATACTATTTGATCTTCAATGACATTTTACAAAAAAAAAAGTATAATCAAATTATGATTTGATGAAAAAACCACTCGAAGTGTGATATCCATTGTTTGAGGTTATATTGAACTTACAAGGGCGTCTTAATATGATTAACAAAAATTTAAAAGAGTTCGTTTCCATAGATCTATGAAATCGAGTTACGATTGTTTTACTGAATTTTAGGCATAGTTCAGGTTAAACACAGCTTTTAAAATGCCAATCATCATTTTTTGAATAACTTTTGATACTTTCTAGCTATTGAAGTGGAGTTTTCGCCATTAGGTAGAGCAATGCGGGGGGAAGGTATCTATCTATGTAACAGAGACCGTCACGGGGCACTTTTTTCTGCCCTGTGCCCTGCCTTACCTTACCCTGTCCTGTCCTCAGAGCATAGATAAAAATAAAAATCCGCCCTGAGGGCGGGGTAGGGTACGGCAGGGCAGGGCCTATACATTGAGCTTAGGTATGAGGGGAATTGATAACTTAGTGAAAACTTGTGTCGTTTTTATGCTCAGTAGTCGTATCTTTTTTCCTCGTTCGACAGACTATTATTCATGGAAAACAATAGAGAAAGAAATCGCATTAATATCGATTCATTCCGATTAAAAGTCTATTAAAATGGCTCTATGATCCATCGGATTAAGGTCTATGCTTTAATTCCAGTTCCAATTTTTCTATTTTCAAAGATTTTTTCAATTCTTTTTAATCGATTAATATGATTTGCCAATTATTACTAATTAAGATTATTAACGAATTATAATTGATCAAAAAGATTTGAGAAACTCTTAAAAACTGTAAAAAAAATCTAAATTTTAGACCAAAGGTAATATTATAAAAGGGTGAAAATAGTGCCATGTAACAGATTTTAAATCAAACGTTATCGATAATCGTCCAGTTTCTCTAGGTTTTTTTAAGTGGGTGTGTGACACTAGTAGAATACTTGTATGAAAACAATGTATCTATCAATAACGCTAGTAGATATTTGTAATTGATTATCATTATTTAGTGAAGTCAAGAATCGAAGATTCTTCCGTATTTAGCAGAAGATGAAGATTCAATTCTTTTTATATGATATGAATGTTTTTGATGTGCTATAAGATCTTGGATGTTCTCAAAATCGACAAAATTCTTGCAAGACGGTAATGAATTAGAAGGAGTATATGATCGAAAAGATGTAATGAAATCAACTGAAGACATGGAGTTATCAACATTTAGTGAAGTTATATAGAATATATATGTTTTCAAAGTTTTACATTTACCTTTAGAGAATATTTCTCCAATGACTTTTTGCAAAAAAATAGCAGTGCAAACTATTTTGCCCTGCCCTGTGATGGTCTCTGCTATGTAATATTCATTACGTTCCAGAAAGTTTTTCAAGATTTACAAGTGAATATTTTTTTTCTGTTGCACATTTCTACAAGTTTCTGTAACAGTCTATGTTCAAATTATACTAAAATGTAGCTTGAAGAGTATTGTATTCACCATATGATTATTAGATTATTTCATCCTCCTTCTGAACTCATACTTCAAGAAAAGTTTTCTGAAATCTGGAAATTTTATGAACAATATGGCTTACTCTAGGCTATATTTTGAGCATAGGTTGCTACGAAAACTTGTAGAAATGTGGAATAGAAAAAAAAGTTCACTTGCAAATCTCCTTAGAACTTAATGAATATTACATAGATAGATCCTTTCCGTATTACTCTATCTAATGATGAAAACTCGACTTCAATAGCTAGGAAGGATCGAAAGTTATTCAAAAAATGGTGATTGGCATTCAAAAAAAAGATCCGTCAATAGTTTGTCTGAGAAAATTTCGACCAAAAACAAGAAAGGATCTGTAAACTTGTATTTATTTGTCTTCGAATTTGCTCTGACTCATGAATGATATTTAAAATATCAATATATTATTTTCTTAAGTGTTTATTGAATTAAGTTCCAATTAAAAAAACAACGAAGAACTTTTTAGCTCGTATAAATATCTTCTCTCGGAAGTTGGTGCTCGTATTCTCTTAATGAAAATTAGAATTCATTTTTAAATGAAACAAAAAATATTTCGCACTCATTAAAAACGAAATCTACCTAAGTTTATTTTTACCTAAAATTTTGCCTATAAATAGATCTAATAATTCATAGAATATCCTGAAAGTTTTAGCTGAAAAGAATAGTTTTTTTTTCTGTTGAGATATTGAATTTTTAAGTAAACTCAATTTTTGTATTATGCTTGTGGCAAGCGATTATTTTGTTGAAAATTCGATATCTTGACAAAAAAAAACCATTCTTTTCATTTTGAAACTTTAAAAATATTCCTATAGGTCATATCGACCTATATAATGACAAAATTGTGTGTTTTTTTGACTTTTCGGTATGGTAACTGAATGTAGATCGAATATTTAGTAAAACGAGCGTAACTCGATCTCCAAGATTCATAGGAACGAGCTCTTTTAGACTTCTTTCGGAAACCTTTTTATGGGCGTACTATAAACTCCAACGTTGGGTACCAGTTCAGATCATTTCCTCGAAGTTTCAATTGTTCTGAATCAGACATAGAAGATAGTTGATTATTTTTTCCCTCGATAAAAAATGAAAATTTCTTTATCTTTGAAGAATCAACATAATAAAAAACATACCTCCACATTCGTAGCAAATATCATGTGGACTAAAAGGTTTTCTAGAACGAGGTGATCGACTGCCCGATCTTCGACGACTTCGTCCTCCTCCTCGATTTGATCGACCACGACCATGTGAAAATTCAACACGAACACGTGAACCACAAATCATTCTACAAAAAAACAAAAAACTAAAATTAATTTAATTTTTGAATTATTTATGATACTGACTTTCCATCAAGAGCTTTAACTGCATCAGCTGCATCACGTTGATCTTCAAAATCAATGAAACCTATTCAAAAACAAAAAGTAAATAAAGATATTAATTTCTATTATGAAATTTCTTTTGGTACTTACCATATCCCCATGGACTTCGTGAAAGCCTAATATTAAATAAATAAATAAATAAATAAAATGTGAAAACAACAAAATAAAATCATACCAAACATTTCTCAATTTTCCATAATAACTAAATGTTTTTTCAACATCTTCTTTAGTTGCATCACGTGATAAGTCTCCCAAAAAAACCTACATTGAAATATAGATTAGTTAAAATAAAATTTTTAATTGACTTTTATTTTTTATCTATACCGTAACTGTTTCATCTCGTCCACCTGACATAATTCAAATGTTTTTTTGTTTCTTTGGGTTTTCTTTTAGTTATTTCTCTATTAATATTATCTAAAAATTGACATATATTTATTGAGAAATATTTCCTCAATTTAAACACACTCGCTTATGTTAAAATTATAAATATAAGAAAAAGAAAACTCAAAACATGAAGTTATAATTACATAAATTTTCTTGATATTACTTGTCAAATGTAATATTGATAGCTCAATGAGTATAATAGTAATCGCATTCTATTCTACTTTCTTCCTTGTCATGGCCGAATAACGATGCAATCATATGAATCATATTGTAATTAATTGTTTTTCCCGATTTGCTATCCACCATTATTATGGTGACCTCCAATAGTTACTAAGTGTTAGAAAATAATTTTTTTAAATGCTCTATATGACATTTATTAATACGCAATTTTAAAAAAATGAATAATTACAATTATTCATAAAAATTTCCAAGTGAGGTCATTACTAAGTTGCTATGGGTAATGGAAATGAAAATGGAAATATATGCGACATCTGTGAAAAAAAAACAAACGAATTACTTGTCATAATTAAACAAACATTAATAAATTCCAATGGTAAGTGAAAGAACTATGCAAAAAGATTAAGTTTACTTAAAGTTTTCAGATCAATGAACATTTCATAACTAAATGGATAGTTTATAGAAATAACTAAATTAAAATCTACGGTATTTTCACATGAGTTTGTTTTTTGAAAACCTGGAGTTACTATGTATTCATAGTTTAAAAAGTAAAAAATATAACACCTGTTTTGTAATGAATGATGTGTTAGATATGTTTAAACTTATAAGACCAATCATGTTTTATAAAAATCCAAAATTTGTTACAGGATATAGTGAAGAAATCTTAATAATTTACAATAAAAAGATTATTTCTTTTTTATATAGATTTTTTTAAAATTTTCCAAAATAGGTAGAACTCTAATCGATCAATCTTTTAGTACTGCCAACAAAGTCATATATTGATACACTTGAAATTTCTTGTTTTTGTTTTTTAATTATTTACTTAATAAAAAAAGTTATAATTTAAAACTATTTTGTTGACAAATGGTATAATCTTCAAGTAACTCTTGGCCTTCATATTATGTATATAGTAGAAACAAGTTTAACATAACACTTATAGAACAAAATGTTCCCAGGTCATAATAAAGTCAAACATATAAGGTCATTTTTGAAACCATTCAACGTTGTCATAATTACTAGTTAACATGACAGCGTTTACATAGTACAGCTTTGTAATTATGTAGATGTTCGGATGTTGAACATGTCACGTTCGGATAAATGAAAAAAAAATAATTGGATAACATCACAAGTAATGTTGAGATTTTAGAAATTTTTTTTATGGAATTTCCATTTTGATTTTATAATTTAGAAAAAAAAACTAAAAAATAAGAAAGAATTTCTCTTGTACCGAAAGAATGATTTCGTTTGTAATGTCGAAAATCGGTCGATTAGAATTTTGTTGTTTTCGAAAAGAATAAATGTCTTTATAGAAATAATTTGTGTAATTGTAAATTGTAAAGTTTTCTTTATTATATTTTTCTAATAAATTCAGACTTTAAATAAAAACCAAATATAGATTGTTGAGTTTTGCAAACTTTTGATATCTAAAATTCATTTATCGAGTGTTTTTTCGTTAATTTTTTATCAGTATGTTTGCTATCACTTTTGTTTTTTAAATTAAAACATTTATCGGAATGAAGAAGTTTTTTAAAAACTTTACCAATATTTCAACTATCGCCGCCGCTGGTCTATGCATCGGCTTATACCTAACTCTTGTTTGAACATAGAAAATCTTTAAAATTTAGGCTAAAAATCTATATTCGTTTAATACCCATCGTAATTTCTAAATTTATCAGTTAATACTTTCGATTCCTGTGTCGTAACAAAGGTTCGTTGCAAAGAATAATCTTATATTTGTCTTTTATAATCTTAGTATTATGAATTAAATTTTAAATTGATTTTCGAGTACTCATGTTCTCAGTTTTGTATACAACCAATGAGAAATATTAATTCCATTGCAGTTCAAATAATTTAAAAGCTAAATATAGAATTTCTAATAGATCATAATTTGATTTGTTTGTGTGTGTCTCATTATTGTAGAGAAAATAAAATTTGATGAGTCAATTAACATCTCACCATTATAACATTTTATTTTGATCATTGAAAAAAAAGTCTAATTTTTCAACTTGAAAACTATAACATAGTCTAGTTTTCTTAATTTTCAAATAATTTTATAACGTATTACGATGAATCGAGTCAAAATTCAAGCTGTTTTCTGATTGATATATTAATATTCATTAATTTTGTTTTGAATGAAATTGAAGTTGATATTATGTTTTATAATCTTCTTAGAAGACGAGTTTATATGTTTGCTTAGTGGAATAAATATGCCGTTGGCAACAAATATGAAAATTAATATTGAAATTTTCTTCTGACGTCCAAAGTATATTCAATGACAGGTTTAAAAGATAATAACTAACTATAATAAGATATTTAAATTTTGTTTGTTAATCTTTTAGAGAATTCTCCATTTTTTAGTAGATTAATATATCTAGGCCAATATTTGATTGTAAATAAATGAAATATATTACTATTTAATGAGGAGTTGAAAGATACGTTGTATGTTCTTTCATTTGTGAAGTTGCGACATACATAAAAGAAAAACCGAATTTTACACATTATAACACACTCATTAATTCAACTACGACATAGAACGTGATATTGATTCATGTTCAAGAAAACTTATGTCAAGATAAATATCTAGGCATCTCTTCTTTTTTTTTGTTTTGTTTTAATACTGACTGACACTTAAGAAAATGAAGTCTTTTAATTGTGACATTAATTTGCTTTCATTTGTTAATTGGATCTTTACTATATACAGAAATATGGCGAAGAGAAAAAAGTGGCGAGATGCAAGAGAAATTTTTTGAAAAGTTGAAGATGTATTAAAAACATTTTTGAACATGAAATAATGCATTTACGAAATTTTAAAAAGTGGTGGGGGGGGGGGGGTGCCGATCCTTATTTTTCCATCTCACGATCTTTTTTTTCAATAAAATTAATAATTTTTGCTGGGAAAAAGCGAAAATTTTGTAAAAGTGAAGGGTGCGTACCCCGTGGTCGCCACATTTTTGATTATATAGTTATATGAAATTATAATAAATGAATTCGATAGTTTATTTATTCAAATTAATCGAAAAAGAAAAATTTTTTTTTTTATTTGCCAATCATTTCCTATTATATTTAAATGGATATTCTTCAAATGAACGTGATAATATGAAACAAATTTTTAATTTTCTTCTTTTTGTTAAATTATAAATATTCAAGAAAATGATATGAGGCGTAAAACTTGATTAGTATATTATATATGAATTGAATTTGTAATAAAACTCCTTTAAGGTAAATTATATGATATTATTTTATTCCTAATCTATTTATAGTTTTCTTATATAATAAAATGTTAATTCAGTTTTTTCTTTTTTTTTTTTTTAATATGCTTTTAGCCTCCAAAAGAAGTGAAAAAGGTAAATTTTTTTCCTTGTGGCTTATTTTGAATAAATAAATAAAATATTTCAATAGAAAAGTGCACGCGATCGAGCAGCATTACTTGAACAAATTAATATTCCACAATTAACAGAAACTTTATTTGATATATCTTATCATGGAAATCTTCCAAATTTAACAGAAATTTTAACAATACCAACAAAAAATATAGAAAATCTTCGTTATGAAGCTATACAACAAAATAATTTATTACAAGTAAGAAACGAACAAGCAAGAACATGTCTTGATCTTGCTGCTATGCTTGGTCATCATGAAGCTGTCAAATTATTAGCAGAAAGAGGTGCAACAATGATGACTAATGGAATTAATTTAACTAATGGAATGGGTAAATATAAAAAAAAAAAAAAAAACAAAAGAATCTATTTTTTTTAGAAGAATTATGTGAAAAAAAAAACATATTTTCAATAGGATATTCAAGTTTACATCTTGCTTGTGTATGGAATCAATTAGAATCTGTTAAATATATAATTACAGCTGGCGGTGATATTGAACAAAAGACTGTTCATGGAGAAAAACCAATTGATATTGCTAGACGATATCATCATAATGATTTAGTTGATTATCTAGAATGGATTGGTAAGATGTTCAATATTCTTGTTGTTTTTTTCTGACAAAAAGAATTTTTTTTAATTCTATAAGCTATACGCAATACATTTACACGTATTATCAATGGTGCAAAAGATTTCGTTGCTGATCCAACAAAAAATATGAATAAATTAAATAAAGATGAGAAGGTAATTTTTATAGATAAATTAAAGAAATGCAAAGATTTTGTTTTAGAAAAAAATGGAAAAATATATTAATGATGCATTAAAATGGTCTGATGAAAATCAAAATAATTCTAATGCACGTGAATTATTTGCAAATAAAAGTAAAGAAGCTGAAGAGTTTTTTGCTCCTTTTTATGCAAATGCTCAATGTAAGTGATATAAGAAAAAATATATTTATATATAAATTCTTGTTTTAATATCTTTTTTCTATATTTATAGCGGAAATGGATTTGAATAATGCCAATATAAGTAATGCAACTCGACCACAATTAGGGACACCCAAAAGTGGAAGAAAATAAAATATTCACAGTTCATTATCGAGAACTATGCAAACGACGTGTTCTTTTTGCCAGAAAAACGTTCTTCTTCGACATATTTTTTTCCCATTTGTTATTCAATAAATATATTAAAATAATCGATCATTATTATGACGACCTTTTTTTTGTTACTTTATAATGGAAATAAGAGAATTGTCCTTACAATACAAAAAAACATGATGAACTTATAAATGTGACGATGATAATATTAAATATATATATATATATATGCATGTTGTTTTTAATATGAATTGACACTAGTCAACAAACTAATGTAAAACATAATTAGACTACGAGATAGTTTGTCACTCATCACATAATGGATTAAATCTAATGGCATTAGAATTTTTCATTTTCATTAAAACTTGTTTCTTTTCTTTTTCTTTTCTTTTTTTTTAATATATACTTGAAAGAAAAATTAAAAAAAAAAAAGAACATTATTTTCTTTCAATGACTCTAAACAAAACTTGAGGAAACAATTATACTTGGATGTAGTATTACTTATTATTTATATATTCGCAATAAATAATAAGAAGAATAGCAAGACAGAGTTGAGATGATATTTCTTATCTAAATATCACAATTTCCAGTAAATTATTAGTAGTTCTAAATACGGAAATGCATCTTTTTTTATATTCCCTATCGATCAAATCAAGAAATTACTTCGCTGTTATGGGTATGTGATTGGGCTTAGAGACGATAAATTTAATAAAGCAAATAAAATGAATCTAGTTATGTATGACAATTAACAATGAAATGTTCGAAATTTTAACCGATGAAATTCATAGAATTATATAGAACTCAGTAATATTCAATTTACAATGTTTAGTAGCAAAAAACAAAACTAAAGAAAAATTATGATTTTTTTTTTTGTAGAATTTTCTTGCCTAGAAAGTTATGAGTTTCAGTTACCATTGGATTTGTTAATAGTGATAGTCAGCAAAAATATTTAGAGGTGAATTTGATTAAAGTTTTCGATGATCGATAATCGACAACAGTACACATCTAGATAAATCCGACTATATCGAAGTAGCCAATCGTCAATAAAATTAAAGGTCAGTATTTATGAATAGTTTTCTATCTTTTTTCAATAATATTTTAGTTTTTATACTAAAAAAAAAAAAAATATATATATATATATATTTTATATTAATCATGATAGAAAAAGAGTTGTGCTAAAGAAGAATCCAATCAAATATGTAAAGTATAGACGCCATGATATTATTAAAGTCAATAACAATATTAGAGAAGTGTCTGCTGAGCATTATTAAGTAAATAAATAAGATCGAGCAATCATAATTCAAGTGATGAATATATTGTTGTTAATTATATGAGAGGTTTTGTTATGTTATGAATTCAAAAATAGACTTTAGGGAATTATTCAGCCACATCATATACTCTAACATTTATATAATGTTTTTTTTTTTTTTTTTTTACTTTATTTACAAAAAATTAATCGTATAAGGATAATGTAAACATAAAACCATATATAAATAGTAATTACAAATAAAAAGAGACGATATTTAACTCAAAAACAAAAATTCACGACATTAAAGATTGTAGGAATATTCGTGTTTCTCGCTAATATTCGACATTTGTCTTTCATCAATTATATTGGATTCAGGTATTCTTCTTTATATTTATTGTTAATCATAGAATTTTCTCGTTAGTATGATGAATATCTAGCAATCTCCGTTCTCAACATGGTGTTTCTTTTTGTTTGCTTCTTCAGGGTAATATTTTATTTATAAATTGTTTCTATTTTAGTCGGATACTAATGAAATGAAGCCTCTAGAACGATAAAAAAAAAAGTCATAGATCATATTTTTTTAATACTAAACTCTATTGGTCTTTGTAGTTAAAATGGTAAGAACTATATATATTTTTATTTAATATTTCAAAAACAAAATTCTTTAATAATATATTCAGTTTTCTATTAAAAGACATAATTTTTAGAACTTTGACTTAAGTTATTACGCTGAATTTCCCATTAAGAATATCTTATATTGCTTTTTTTTTTTGAAATACTAAAAATGATCTACTATTCATGATTTCTTTTCTTGAAAGCTAGAAAGAAAAAACATATTTTTAATTATAATGAATCTCTAGATTTGCACATATAAGGAATAAAAATTCAAATTACACAAGTTTTTTATACAACAAATTGTTTTACAGATTGACTTCCTTTGGATTCTTTTTCATATATTTATTATGTAAAATAATTCTCCTATAGTATTTTTATGATCTCATGATAGTTGTAGTAATTAAAGATAAATATCTAGACAAAAAATATTATTATTATCAACATAAATGTACTGAAGATTGTGAATATCAATCAGTATTTTGAAGATAAATAGAAGAAAAAAACAATGAATGAAAAACAGTGAAAAATATACGCATGACTAGACTAATTTAGACTTTGAGTGTGGGTGTGACAATAACGAATATAAATAAAGATTCCGGAAGAAGGCAGGTTGTTTGAAGAGATTGAAAAAATAATGGAAAAAAGCTCATCGTCGTGAAAGCTGATAGGTGCTGGAGGCAACTTTTCTCCTTATTCTCTCTTTCTTTCTTTCTTTCTTTTTTTCATTTTTCTTTTAGTCGCAATTAAGAATGAGCCAAAAAATAGAGACTTCGTCATCTTTGCAGATAAATAGTCAGTAAATATTTGACGATGAATTATTATTTACCAAAAACGCAATAATGCCAAATTTAACATCACCAGAATCTTTACTTCCTGATGTTGAATCAGTTACATCTTTACCTCGTTGGTTATTTATGCCATTTATTATAATATCAATTACTGAGAGTGTTCTTGGCATTGTTGGAAATAGTCTTGTTATTATTGTCATATCATGTATTGGTAAATCAAATGCACCACATAGACCATATAACTGTTTTATTGTTAATTTAGCATTAAGTGATTTAGTTTTATGTCTATTTACAATGCCTTTAAATACATATAGAAGTATAAATGTCTATATGGCATTTCCACCTGCAATTTGTAAATTGGCTGATAGTTTTCCAGCAATAAATGTATGTGTTTCGTCATTAACTATAGTTGCAATATCAATTCATCGTTATTTGGTTGTTTGTTATCCACATAAAAAATTAATCGGAACATTTTTAACATTTATTGTAATGATTGGAATATGGTTATTAGCAATTGCAGCAGCTAGTCCATTATTTATATATTCACGTTCATCCAAAGTTTACGATGAAATGGTTGTTGAAGTAATGGTTAAAATGTCGTGTACGAATTTACAAGATGAATTATGTGAAGAAAATCATTATAAAACATATAGACGTTTACATGTTTGTCATGAATCATGGCCTAAACATGGTGATTGGCGTCTTGTATATACGATATTTATGCTTTTTCTTCAATTTATCCTTCCTATTTCAATTATTTGTATAACTTATTATCAAATTATGGTTAAATTAAGAGAACGTATGTAAAAGTATTTCTTTTTCTTTGTTCTTAAGGAAATTGTTAGTCTTCTTAAATGTCAATGATAATGAAGATGTTAAATACAATAGTTAGAACAATTTTCTATAGAAAATCAAAAAATTATTTAAGGTTGAATTAATGAAATAAAAGATTTTTTTCTTTTTTAATAAATTGACTATACTGAAATGTATTAGAATGATAAAAAACCAAGATTCAATAATAAATCAATGAAATTTTTAAGAAATAATAAGTTCTATGAGAATCAATGTTATTAATTTAAAGAAAAAAAAAGAAAAGAAAAGTATAGAATGACGTTTGTGTAATTTTGTTCGTAATAATATTCCATAGAATTTAAATTGTATAATATTTGTTTTATTTTTATTCAATTGATTAATTATTTTTGTTAATCTTCAATAGTATTAGTTTACAAAAAGAAAAAGAATTTTTATTTATTTAATTTAATAGGTTTTCGATATCGATTTTTAATTAAACGTCATAATATTGCCTCATTACGTCATGAAGTTGGTCGTCAAAGAAGAAACAATGTCCTTCTATTACTTATTGTATCATCATATGCAATTAGCTGGTTACCATTTAATATTTCATATACTGTCTTCACTTATGTGAATCGTTATCATAGTCAAACAGCAGGTAATTAAAGAGTCATTTTTAAAAGAATCTATTTTAATTTAATTTAATTTAAGACAATGTTCATACACCTCATGAAGAAAAAGTAAATGAATTATCTAAATATCTTCCATTAAGATTTTTAATATGTATGATATCAGCAATAACAAATCCATTTTTATATGGTTATTTTAATGAAACATTTAAAGATGGTTTAGAAAAAATCTTTTCATTTTGTTGTCGACATATGAACAGAGGTATAAATGAAATGGGTTATAATCAATCAAATATTCCAATATCAGAAACAATCTTAAAAAAACATCAAAAAGGTCTTTCGGGATCAAAATCAAGTTCTTTTCAATTATCCTTACATAAATATTCAAATAATGGCGTTTCAATTCGTCCATCAACTTGATTAACTATAACAAGTCAAAATTATCTTTCACTTTCGATATCATTAGTTAATGAATTCGTTTTATAAATAGTGATCATATTTTATTTTATGAGACAAAAAAAAAAAATTTTTCAAGATAAATAAACCAAATTTAATAATTATTTGAATATCAGCCAATATAGAAATTATTCACAAAGGAAAAACATCCTTCTTTTATACATGATTACTAAAATTTAATTCTTTGGAGACCGACTTTTTTTTCGAGAAAAGGTAAACAATATTGTCGAAATTAGTTATAACTCAGAAATTATAGAATATATACTTGTGCCGTTAGCTCTTGTTTCTATAGAGTATGACAACAAATCCTTTGATAGAAAAAGAAATATATACAATGATTCTACTTCGAAATATCCTAAGAATTTGGGCCTTCTGTTTTAGTTGTAAGGCCATATATATACAGCCTCCGTCCTCAAAAGAGTTAAAAAAACCTTTTAAACGTCAGTAGAATAT